CTATCTAAACAGAGTCCCTTACCTCACTGAGCTGTAGTTATCTCTCTCAGTCTGACAGCAGAGAGCTCTCCCTCTCATTGTTTGAGAAACAGCTTCTAATATCCATTAGCGCAGCTAGCTACCCAGATGCTAACAACAACAATGCAAATAGTGAGTTTGGTAGAAATATACTGTATAATAGTAAAGTTATTTAAGATGATGCCATATTTATTGAAGATTTACATTATAAATATTCCCCACAATAATTCAAAAGCATATTCTTCAAAACTCTCTGCTGTAGTATGACCAACACAGAAGACTATTGATGTGTGTGTAGTGAGTTTGGCAGTAATAAGTTGTATAATAGTGATTGAATATTATTGTATTCTCTTTTTTCGGAGTTGCACTTTGCAGACGGTCCCTGAGCACTCGTTTCTTCTCCGGCTGCGGATAGAGACCAATGTAACGTGTCCAGCTCGGAGGACGGCCCGTATTGGCTCTTTTTGATCAAAATGTGATTGTAGTTCGTTGTCAGCCTTACCACGGTACTTAGGAGACGTCATTTGTGTCTGAATAATGTTTTTTTCATGAGTTATTGATCCGTGAAATCAGAATCTCCCGATATCGTTCCAACTTTACTGAACTAAGCCAGAAGACCGTCTGATTTCGTAGACTGCTCGGTTTGCTGTTGCTTCACTTTATTTTTATATACATATACATTTATTTTGGACGAAAACTTAGCGTGAGGAAAGGCAAGTGTGGGGTGAGTGCGTGAGATATGGGTTAATTGCGTGACTCTCACGCTCAATGCGTGAGTGTTGGCAGCCCTGTATACATATACATACATACACACAGTATATGCGCTTGGGCATGTGTTTATCTTACAATTACCAGCTCTGTTAACAATCAATGACTTTAATTAAGGTCTAAGCCACACTTTGAATTTGGGAAGCCGTGGTTAATAATGTATGCTTGATCAATGTTAAACTAGAGACAGTAAGCACCTGCCTTACATTTCCTAATACTATTTGATTAAAAGTCTCTGAGGCTTGCTAGCAATCAGAAAGTCAGGGTCAACTGAGCTCCTCAGCACTGCCGATTCACATGAAACTGTGTTCTCAATAGAAAATGTGTAAGATACCCACTTGATGGGGAAAATAAGATGGCTGAAGCTTCAGCACAGCTTTGGCAGAACTTCAGAATGCAATTTCTGCACACTGTGGAGTTTGATCCACATTGATTGTGCATATGCCAGTTGAGTAGCACTTGAAATGTTTTAGCTCTATGAAACCTGATGTACTTATATGATTCTGTTTTCTTCAAGTTTGTATTTTGTTGGTCGAACGCACTTATTGTAAGTCGCTTTGGATAAAAGCGTCAGCTAAATGCAATGTAATAATAATATGGCAGCCATCATTAAACAACAGTTAAGGAGACCATTTACACTGACCATTAACTCTTTAGATGCACATATAGGCATGTAAATATTGTGTAAGGCACAGTAGACTTGAAAAAGTGTATCTGTGTATAAATGTCTTTCTTTGCAAGAAATAGCCAGAACACTGAATTTGTTTGTATTGTCTAATATCTAATATCTATATCTATATCTCGCCACTCTCCTAAGCCGTGGTGACATGGTGTATCACAAAGACAGAGCAGAGACATTTAAAAAAGGTAACACCAAGTAAAGCCCCATTTCATACACAGCAGGGGAAGTGCAGACACCTTAACACAGTGGGGTTTCTAGAAGTAGAATCATTTTGTTTTTTTCAAGACCACGACTGCTACACAAAACACTGGCAAAGGTCAACAAACATTTTGTGTAACACAATACATGACACGCGTCTCTCATGGCGAGGCAGTCTATCTCTGCCAGATATAGCATAATACAATGCAACTCAGTATGGTGGAGATGGGCAGATGGTACCGGAGCTTGTTCCTCTCCTGTGAAGGTCACCGTTTCAATACAATGAGCCAGACCTTGTATCAAATGGAGAATATGACACTTCATCCACTTTGACAGTTTTTTTATTTTGCAGCTTGCCTTTGTGAAAGGAATTTCAGTATGATAAGAGGAGGAGAATAATTGAGAATTATAGCTGTATATATTAGAAAGACATAATGATAAGTATTATAACATTTCTACCTGATACCAAGTTATTTGATAAATATTATGAGCATTTCATCTTAATCATTCTCCAACTAAAGAATGAAGTTAAAAATGCATGAGCACACAGTGAACACCAATATTTACATTTCATCTAGGCTTATTTGCACAAGATCTGCATATAATGCATCGCAATCAATCAAAGTGTATTTATATAGCCCAATATCACACATTTCACATTTGTCTCAGGGGACAATTTCAACAGAAAATAATTGTAATAAATGTAATAATAGCACGCAATCTTCTTGGACTTTTATTGCACAGGAGGCTTAAACAATTAAAATCAGCGAGTGATGTCCTGACGGGCTGCTATAACTATAAAAGCAACCACTTGTCACTATGCTTGCTGTGATTCAAAGCCCCAAGCCTTGAATATTCTTTGCATAAACACAATGAAAGCCCCATGGCTCCAAAAGGCTTCCTGCGCCCGTTACAATAGCTTAACCTTGAGCGTATTATTGCTTAAGGGCCTGGCATTAGTCTGATTATAACATCAGAGCCTGGCCAGCCTCATAAAAGAATGCTTATTCTACCATGGTCTGAAGTAATTTAAGAATAGAAAGCAGAATTACATCCAGCCTGCCGAGTAAACTGCACCTACTGCCACAAGATGTTAACTCAGTAATTACCCAAATGAGAAAGATGCTTTATGTCAACATGTGTGTATTCATAAGTCTTAAACATGCAATGTATCTTAGCCTGTAAATGTAGCATTATGAACAAATTATGTTTAGAAGGGTGTTAATGTGTTGCCTTTTGGCCAGTGGCAACATTATTTCACCATGCTGGTAAACAAATGCCGGCATATAAACAGACTGGTCCCCATGGTAACTAGAGATGGACAGCCTCAGGCAACTTGGAGGGATGTCTGATTATAGCAAATGTAATCAATTCAAGTCATTGTGCCACTGCTCACCTATAAATATTTGTAAAACATGTAAGATGATAATAATAATAATAATAATAATAATAATAATAATAATAATAATAAGATAATGTCAGTTGTCTGCAAAACAATGAGAGATTAATTCAGCATTGGTTGACTTCTGTGACATCTGTTAACAACAGTTTACTTAGATTAAGAAAATCCATCTTAAAAAAGGTTAATATGAAATCAAATCAATACAATAAACACCTCATGGAGGCTACATTTTCATTATTATTCAAACCAAGTTTCACAGACTGAACCCATATTAACTCTGGACACACTGGGGTAGATATTTAATGGATATCACATATATCACCGCAGGGAGTGTTATTGGTGGTCGGAGAACATTAATGTAAAGTATGGCCTATGTTGGTCTGGGAGAGAAACAATGGTCCATAGTTTCCATTTCTTTGGAGATTTAATCCTTTTTCTCTGAACTCTAACAGTTATATCACCCTCTATCAAGAACCGTCTGTATGTTTGAAGGGGGAGTAAAGGAAAAGCTTAAGGCTCAAAACAGAAACTTTGAAGGAAGACCACTCAACCATGATAGCAAACTCACAAAACATCATCAATTATCTTCCCGCACTCAAAAGTGTTGTCAAGAATGAATACCAAACCTCATCCATTTGTGTTGTGAAGTACTTTTACTCAAAGGTATCAACAATTAATGTTGTGACGCACTATCAGCCAAAAGTAACAGAAATTAATAAAGCTTTAAATCTATTTTTGAACGGGGTGAGCTAACATAGATAAAAGGAGATAAAGAGGTTTAGGTGTACTTTATGAATGCAAAATAAAGGGTTCTTTGTGGCAGTGTACAAACATACAGAGAAACATATTCTACTAAATGCGACAGTTTATGAATACATGCAATAATAGTTTTCCATAGTCATATTCATTATCTACTGTTGCATCTGAAACAGCCCTCCGCCTGACTTCTGGCACGGTGCCTGGAGGACTGTAAGCCCCGCAGCTCTATGGTGAGAGGGCTCGATCGCTCCACAACATCAGACAATCCTCACTTATTTGTTGTAAATATTTAGTAAATATCATTTCAAGTACTGTTTTATACAATATGGTTAGATTTATTTCGCATTTTGTTTTGAATCTGTTAAATATTGTTGTCCTCGACACAGTTGTGTGTATTTCTACCAATATGTCCGAGAGCAAGTGTTACTACATCTCCAGATAGACATGACAAGACAAATGATATCGCACTGGCGTGAGGTCAAATTACTTTTTCATATTGAATGATCAAATTCCATCCTCCTCAGTCTCTCTCAGGCAAGGTCCCATGTGAGACATCATTTTTCATTGAAAAATACACAGAATGATATAATATGTGCCGATGGTACGGGCGAAGCGATATGGTCCTAGTAAGTAAGGCAGCAAAAGATAAGGAAGTAAACATTTTTTAGATAGTTTTTAAAAAACTTACAGTTTTGGAGGCAGTAAAAACATACTGGATGACCATGTCCCTCTTGGTGCTGAGGTCCTTGTCTCTCAAAGGGGTCTTTTTTTCCTCATTCAAGTTCATGTCCTCCTGAAAAGGAAAAATAAAAAAGGAAGATATAACTGTTTTGACATTTTAATTGAATAATTTAAAATGCAATGTTCTTTGAGGGTTTTTTTTTATATCAGCAAACCTCTAGCAACCTGACTTGATTTGTTTTATCCAACAGCGTATTCATTATACGATACTTTAGGAATAAATGCTCAGGGCCAAAGTGTTAGCATAGACTGCTGATCCTTACCTAGCAAATTAACTTTTTGCTATTAACTTTTATGTAATTAATTGAATATTGCAAAATTGGGCAAAACTTTAGACAGTGATTTAATTCCTGAAATGGTATTAGTTCAATTGAGGGCGATGTCATATTAGAGGGTTAGACATTATTGCATGAACAGCAGAACAAAGTCCTATGTTACAGAGAAAGCCTGTTAGTATAAGAGTGTTGCATTATGGGGGAGCCTTAATGTGGTTTTGCGAGTGTCTACCTGACTGTTCATCTACAAAAAAGCATGTCTGGAGTTAGTCAGGCCCAAAAGTCTCAAGTAATTTAACTTCCTTGAGTTATCTACTTTCCAATGACGAGTGATTTCAGTTCTATGCAGGACATTAACAGTGTATTACAAATGAGTAAAGCAAACAGTCATCTCCCAACATCTCTACAGCAGTTCACCCAGCACCCACTCCGGTATCAAATAATGCCCTTTCGCAAAATAGCTAGCCAAAAAAGTATTTGAAACACTAACAATCAGAGAAAATCTGTTTCTGGTCCTCAAGTGGAGGCAAGCATTTGACAAAAAAAAAGGGTTAATAGAGAGTCTATTATTAGAACCATCATGCTGCTGAAAGATGTGTCATATTTGTCAAGTACTCCATTTTATCAAATAATTACATTTTAAAAAGTGTAAAAATGATTTCCTGTATTTATATGACACATTTAAAAGATTTTCAAAACAAGCCAAATCTTTACCATTTTAAGTCACTGTGGCTTTGTCTTGCTTTAAAATATTGGATTTACATCAAGCAACTATATTGTTTTTTTAAGAAAGTTTATTACAGCTTAAGGAAAATTTGATTTATTTTTAATGCCAGTGACATAAAAGCATAAATATTAATTGTATGATGTTACACCTCACTGCCAGACAAAAGTTGATCATCCTCCGTCCCAAGTTTGAGCCTTTAAAAGAGTGATTCAAGAGATTGTAATGTCAATTAAGGCCTTATTTACGATGTACGATCGTTGTATTAAATGCCTTTAGAGGACTTCAAGGAACCCTGAAAAAGATATTGTACAATAACAAAAAAAAAACTACCATCATTTTTTCAAACAGAGCCAAGATCTCCTTTTCTGAGGTGATCTTTGATGAGAGATCCTCAAAGTGATGTGAGGTGGATGATGAAGCAGTGGACCAATCATTGGCATTTGGTTTAGGGTGAGATAACGGTGGCCGCTCCTTTTTACTCCCTGGGATCCGAATACTGGCGAATCTGTCCAGCTGAACAAACAACAATGAAAACACACTTCAAAACATGAAAAGTACAAAATAAATATAGTGATAAGTACACAGAAGATGCAAAGTGAACAGAAATTGTTAGATATTCAGAACAGATTAGCAACACTATTAGTTTATTAATGAGTAGGAATGTCACAATACCAGAAATGAACTAGTTTACACCAATACCAGTGAAATTCCACTATTCTCAATACCCATTTAATAACACGGTAAAAACAACGAAAAAAGAGATTCCATGTACTTTAACATACACTTCTTTATTACTGCTTGTCTACTGGATTTGTTAAGAAGTTATACAGCTCATAATTCCCTCTCTATTAACCATTTACATATCTCCTTCTGAAATGTATTCCAGTATCTCAACAAGGTAATGTTATCATTTACATTAGCCTCATATAAAATGTTCAATAAATAGTTTGAACACAACCTCATGTTTGTCAATAGCACCTCTATTCACCGGCAGCTAACAGCTAACGTTGAGCAGCTTTCCTCCTGCTGATTCAACAAAGATTTGTTGAGGAAATGTAGCATTTTAAAGGAAGAGTAGGGTGTCCCCTGGTTGCATTAATAGTGAGTTTTATGCGTCACAATCCCTGGTTCTATCGTCACAGTTAATCTGGAGCCCTGATGTATTTATGGCACATTTCTAAAAAGAAGAACCGCCCCTTTTTCTTTCTTTTTTTTGCATTGACTTGGTTCTGGTAGTATTGTTTCTCATGACATCCCTTATGATGAGTTAGAAAAGAACGTATATTAGAATAAACAAAGAAAATACAATACACAGAACATATGTTAAACACACGTTGAGCAGAGCACTACCTAGAAAGTATGTAGAATAAACCGTAACATTAGTCGATGAGACAGGCAGTCAGTGTTGCTCTGTGCCGTTAATAAATCCAAAGTCAGGCACAAAAGACAAGCAGATTAGATGACTTTTAGTGATGTTAGATGTTGCAGAGACTGACAAGAGAATAGAAAGCATCAACTTCTCAAATCTTACCACATCATCTGTGATGTTTCTAAAGGGTAAGTGCTAAAGGTGGGGAACAGAAAAAACAAATCAGGAAACAAAAATAACCTGCATTAAATGTTAAACATACAGCAGCCTAGAGCAGATTACTGTTATTATTTTTAAAAGACACATCTTTGATTGCTCACTTAGTGAAAAGTGTTGGTTCTTTAGATTCTGCATTAGAGAATTAACAAGGTAATGTTGTGGTGTTGTAGTTTTAGGAGAGAAGGATACAATAAAGTCTGAAGGGATAAGGACCTGGAACTCTTGATGCTGTTTTGTCCCCACAATATTACACTCATACAAATAAAGACAAATATCCTTTAAATTGACATCTACGGTTTAACTAGATATGATGTTAAGGTATGCAGTGGCTATCAAGGATTTGTTTTAATGGACCTAATGTTTGTCAGTTTAGTAAAGCCTAAAGTACTGCACATTCCCCAGGGGCCTGTACTATCATCACCAAGCACAATGGGTGGGTGCCAAATGTCCGGACAAAAAGCGAAATCTTCTAGCTACACCCAGCAGGGCAGTTTAGCAAATGATTCAACAGGTTAAAATATCTCCACCGGATTGACATGGTGATCAACATCAAGGGGACTAAATAATTATAAAACTACCTAAAAGAAAGGCCTTCTCTAACAAGCTCCTTGTTGTCTGCTTTTTCCTAGACTTAATGTTCAAGTTACCATCTGTATTTCAAACAGGTATAAGGATTCAAAAAGGCCAAAGGAATGATCCTAATAAGGAATGGTAAATCAATACAGAAAATATTGAATTTCAAAATGTTTTCATAAAATGAAATGCTGAATGAAAAACTGACATGGAAAGGTTACATTTTCTTCAAGCATAACAGCAGACGGTACAGAACTTCAGATAAATAAATCAATACACACCAGTGTTTAATTAATATAAAATGGCCGGGTATAAAATGTGTCAGCCTGTCAATAAGCCATCCCCCTAATGAGTGTTTCCAGATTAACATCGTACAATTTGGTTCAAAATGTGCTTGAAAGCAGACAGAGAGTTGACATGGGAGAATATTAATAAAATGACCCACCATAGGAATTAGTTGTCTCCACAGATCAGCTTGACAATTGTGCAAACTAATTGGACACAGCTGTCAAACTTTTACCATCAAATGCCCACAGCTTGACGAACCAGTGTAGTACACTGTACTGTATATGGAACAGCACCCAAGCTAAACATGAACTGTTCTGAAGTTATATTGTCATAATATGCTTAGTATTATATAGTGAGTATGCTCAAAAGTAAATAATCAAGATGTCATGAAGTACATGAAAGAAAAACTAGCGTAAGGTTTACATTAAAGGTGGGGTAGGTTTTCAGTTTCAGAAACCGGCTCGAGATACACTTTTTGTTATATTCCATGGAATGCTCTTAACATCCCGATAGCAATGAATATCTTAAGTGCTTTGACAAAAAATCCATAAAAAAATGTCATCTGTGGAACCCGTAATACTGTAAAAACTACAACCATTGGATTGCCGCCCTGTCTGTCAGCCTTCCATCTTGTGCACGCACAAATGTATCTCGTGCCCTCATTGGGCGTGCCGTCATTGGGCGTGCATTGCAGCAGTACTTCAATGACTCGCCAGCAACAGGCGGCCACTTTCACCAGGGCAGAGTTAGGTTCAACATCGTCTACTGGNGCCGTTACAAAATAATCGGCTCGTTCGCGACCGACACATCACTAACAGGCGGCCACTTTCACCATGGCAGAGTTAGGTTCAACATCGTCTACTGGTCGCAAAAGAAAAAATGTAACGGAGCAAATTAAGAACAAAAAGAAAGTGGAAACTAGGAGAAGTGAAACCAGAGTCAATATCGGAGTTGCTTTGGCTGTGTAGTATTGCTAACCTATATATGTGTTTAGCTTTGCCTGATATGTAACGTTACTGCAGCCTGCTCTCGCGGAGGTGCTCTGTAAGGAAGTCTGAAGGAAGGGGCGGATTCTTTTTGGCTGTGTACTTTCAAATTTTAGTGCACTCGAGCCGGTTTCTGAAACTTACCTACCCCACCTTTAAGCATATAGAGTAGGAAATGAGGACGTGTTATTTCACACATCTCTACTTCCTTTCCCCTACACTTTGTGGGTGATAAAAGGACAAGCTGTCTTTCTTAACACTTTGCCGAACGTCATCATAATTGAGCTTTTCAACCTCATGGAAACAGCCATCGATCGCTATTGGATTTTAGGGGCAACTCAACAGCGACCTAGAGAGATTTAAAATCTTGTCTCTTTCAATAGTAAACTGAAACTCAAGACAAAGGCTATGCCGCTGCTAATGCTTGTTTCATTTTAGAACTACATCTACTAGTTTGACAGCTTGGTCAAAGTGTCATGTTGCACTGGTCAAACTCATTTGAATGTGGTTAACATTTTTCAAATGTATGCAAAAAACAGACCACAACCATATCACCACAACGATACACTGCACAACTGCTTCTCCTGCACTCCATGGGACATGAAAAGAAAACCTTTTCTATTTTGGATAGAATGCGCTGAAACTCCCTCCGACGCTGTATATGGAGGAAATGTGCCGTAAGAGCATAAGGGAACGTAATGCTAGAAGGAAAAACAGAAGCTGACAGCTGGAGAAAACCTACCCCAACAGCACCCTTCAACTGAACTTCTAGGTTACTTGTTGTCTCAGTCCTTTCACTGCTAACGCAAACAAGTGATGGCCTAGTCCGAACAGTCAAATAAACCGTAGCAGTAACTTTGTCCTTAGTTCCGGCAGGATTAATGCAATGATATATGATTAGGACATAATGCCACGTAGATTTTCATTTTTTTCACAATTGTTGCTACTTGTTTTAAACAGTCTAACCCCAGGTTAATCAGCGCCTGTTAACAAATACCATTGTGGATGCCCTGAAGTCAGCTTTAGAGCAAGTTAATTAACTAGCAACGCTTTAGTGTTTGTTCAGATTATCAAGATCTCACTATTGCAACTATTTTCATTAATAGACTAAATAGGCTGGCCTGACCACAGTCATTTGTCAATATCAGTAAATTCATTTTACTTTCAGCTATCACCCTGTTCATTTAATTAAACTCTGATAACATCTTTTTCAATTAACTGGGAAAACTAATTCAAGAGAAAAAGCTGATTTATAAAACATGGCGCATGCTTTCCAATACTGAAATAGATGTAAAAACAGAGAAGGGAGGCTTCATGGAGGTTGGGGAAAACAACATTAAAGAATTTCAGACCAAACCCAAAACAACATCCAAAGACATCTCATTTTGAAAACATATGTATAAGGGCAATTCCACAAACCTAATAGGGTTGTGAATTATCATGACAAGGCAAAAGTGAACACTACAAAGGTCTCCCCAATGGATGAAACAATAGTGCTTTGTCATCCTTGCCTTAAAATAAAGATTTAAATGAACATTTCCTGTAGAAATCCCCATTTTCTTAACATAAGGGGTTCCTTTTTCTCCATGGTTGGGTATGTTCTAGGGCTAAAAATGTTATATAAATATCATAAAAATTTCAAAATGCCCAACATTTGTTTTCTAAACTTACAGTACATGGAGATGAAAAACAATTGTTTTACTGTCCGGTAAAAAGGTTTAAGGTTAATAGAATATGTAAATTGAGTGTGTCACATATAATTAATTCCTTTTGAGTTATTTGAGCATGTACATTCAGTAACATTGCCCTTGAACAATTAACATTTTCCCCAAACATTAGTTGGATAGAACAATGATAATAAACGCCCATTAATGAGACCATAAAATGTTATTAGAGCTTACACTGAAGATAACTGTTGAAAATGAACAGTCCTTCTCACCCTTTTTAACCTGCAATTACCAAAGGTCAAAACAGCATATCAAAAGAACATTAACACCGCGCATTTACATGTCTTCTGTTCTATTTCTCTTTAATTTGATTATACTCGGCTAAAAAATAGCCACTGAACATAAAGTGGCCTTTAATAGCTCATCTACTTTCGACCAATTGCAGTAAATGTTGTGGTATTGCAGTGCCCCCTATTGATATGACTAAAATAAGGAATGCCCTTAACTGTGAAAAAAAATATGTACAACGTTTTTAGTACGTTTTTAGTATGTTTATAATAATGGTTTTAAATCATAAATGTTGTAAGACAGACCAATCTAAAGACAGAGTAACTAAAGGCTGTACCTCAACAGGTACATGTATTATTTAGTGAGACTAAATAACAAGATGTCCTTTGGTTGAGTATTTCTGACAGTTAGTTCTATAGAACAAAATGGCGAGTAATTAGACATTCAAGGCTCTCTGGGAGGCAACATGGTCTCAGCTCAGTGCACTGCTTTTTGTCTGAGTATATCACAAGAAGAACCAGAACAATAACTAAAAGCCTTAAATGTGTATTTCAGCTATTGTAAGGATGTGTAGCTTTTCTCTCTTGTTGACAATGGTGAAAACAATCTGGCTAGAATAAGCTGTCTATACTCTGTCTATCCAAAAAGAAATATTTATATCGTCATTTATTGTATCCATCATTATTACTGTATTGTAACTTATTTTTAGTGTGCATAAAACTAATCAGGGTAAAGTGATTTATTATTATATTTACAAAATTGATTTCTAATAAAATGTTGTGTGCATTAATTCTGAACGAGTAAACCATAACGTTACTTTTACACACATGGAGACATAGGATAATGTACATTGCCAGTCAATCTGAATGCTTTAACACACTAGAGCTGCTGTATATGAAAAAATGAAATAACTTTTATTATGAATTGGCTCTATATAAAAATGACAAATATTATTCTGACATGAACCAAAACCAACCAGACTTTCAAGTAGCACTTAACTCTTATTGCAGTAGAGATGGTGTTTCTATTAGTGATAGTAAATGATAAGACTTTGGGATAACAGGCTGGATTGCAGAACCATTGATGCGCACACCTTTTACTACGATTGTAGACAAAAAATCTTTGAATCCCGTCAACAGGGTATTAACTTGTGTGAGCTCTCTCCTAAGAATGGGGTCAAAGGAAGGTTGAGCGTGCGTTAAGTAGATCTGTGTCATACACATGTCTCCTGTCTGACAGGTGGCTCTGTGTGTTGCTAAAGAAAGTCTGGATGCTTTGAGAAAGAGACTGCTATAGAATAAGTCTAAATGGCAACCAACACCTCCCTATATCGACCAGAATAATAAATCAGACATTCACCAGTCAGACACAATGTTGGTTGGTTTGTGATAGTAGGAAGGACATGGATTAGTGTAATGGCTAAACCCTGTGCTAATTTTAACCTTTTGATTTCCTACATGCAAATTCAACACAGTAATTGTTATTGTCAATAAAAATGATACAGTAAAAGATTCCGTTGAGTACGAGCTATACTGAACTGTAAACAAGATTATTCTGCGACAGATCATATGTCAAGTAAATCAAGTACACTAAACAGTGAAAACACTTCCACCTCAGTTCTGCAGCTTTAGCTGTGAATTGCTCAAAACTTAATCCAGCTGAATATCTGTGTTGAAACAGTAAGAAATATAATACATTAATACAGTCATTATGACATTCTAGATACACCTACTATATAGAAATAGCACATTTGCGTGTGTGTGTGTGTGTGTGTGTGTGTGTGTGTGTGTGTGTGTGTGTGTGTGTGTGTGTGTGTGTGTGTGTGTGTGTCTTAATTCCACGGGTAGTACAAATGACGTAGAATTGTTGACATGTTCACATGACATCATTGGGAAAAAATGAAATGGTTTCCTACCCCCACCCTACTGTAGTTGTACACTAACACGTCACTGCAGTCTTCATTTACAATAAAATAGAACATAACATACATACGTTACAGTTTAATCTGCCATACTTACAAACTTTGGTTTGCGGTCTCCATCATCGTTTAATGTGTTGAGGTTGGAAGAGCCTTTCTTCTTGTGAGGTTTACTGTCTCGTCCGGAAGTGGGTTCAAACCGCTGATTATAACTATCCATGATTTTGACGTTAAGTTAATGATTTCTCTCTATAGCAGATGGCCAGCCTTGATATGTATCTAATGCTCGCACACAACCTAAAAGTCTGAAGGACACCACCCACAAAAGTGCCTACATTACCACTAACGTTGTAAACTCTGGGTTAAAATCACATCGGTTTGTCAAAGTCAGAGACGTCCATAGGGATATGTTCACTCTCAACCAAAGAGTGGTAGAATATCTCAACACCCCGTTTAGCTAACTAGCTAGCAACTTTGCTAAACTATCACTCACTGGCTGCTTTACTTAGCGCTAATCCAATTTAAGGACTGTCACGTAATGCGTGAGTTTCCGCGAACAGAAAGACTGCTGCATCCAACGTACCGTTGCTGTCCTCTGAAAAAAGAGACCCGTACAGTAATTCAAAGCTCTATACACATTACAAACTGTAGCCGAAGCGTTGGCTGAATAAGTTATGGTGCAGATATTTTTTTTTTGACAGACCCGCGCAATGAGAAGGTCAGCTGAGCGTGTTTGATCTAACCAATAGCATCCACTGAGACACAAAAATGGCATCGTCATTGGCACAGCCCCCTCTGTGTACGGTTGAAAAGACATTTGATTGGCCGTATGGAGCTGTCAATCAGTTGCAGTTTGTACAAGGGTTGTTCGCTTTACACACCTGGGTCTCCCGTCGGTGTGATGGTTTTTGTAGCCTGGGTCTACCTTATAAACTGTCATTCCTGTAGTGCCGAATATAATTTGCAGATTTAAATTGCATTACAATGTATCAATTTAGTGAAGTCTTTTAGGAATCAACCCACAGGGCACATTTTCATTATTGGAAGCTGCCAAAAACAAAATACATAATCAAAAAACGCTTCAAAGTAGCCTACACATAATAGCCTATACATATAGTAATTTTATTGTAAATATATTTGCAATAAAACACAAAGTCATCCAAAGAGACGCTAGAATTTGCATTATTTTGGAAGCCATTCTTAAAACTATTAATTTTCTTTTTTTGGAAAGCTTAATCTAATGTGGCATCGGTATCAAGTCGTTCCATCATGTCAAAACATACATTGCCCTGAAAGCTTCAATCAATTGTGTGTAAGTAATAAAAGGTCATAAAGGCTGCAATTAGGTTCAATGAGAAATAAATTGGTTGGTCAAATAGCATTTCTTACTTTTCAGATATGCTACAGATGATTTTGTGTAGGCTATAGTATGTATTTTAGAATTTGTTTTACCCTTTTCACCATCCTAACCTGTGTTGTACAGTGCTCTAAAAGCCTAACTTCTAATGCAAGCAGTTATCTGAAGTGTGGCTTGGAACTGTCTCTTTTTTTAAATAACCAGGCTGTTACACTGATGTTGTTGTTCTGTGTTTGACCATTTAAAGTTAGCCTCAAGCCATATCCCAAATACCTTGTCTGATGCAAACAGCAATGATGTGATGTGATGTGATGCAACAAACAGACACTTTTGTGAGAACCTTCTCATGTGCTCTACTCAAACAGTGAAAATCTCCCTCAACACACACAGCATCTGAGCATTTTTCAATTTAAAGCCAATAAGGAACATCTGTGTCAATCTGTTCTGTATCTGTTATTAAAGCTCACAAATTAGAGAAATTAGAGAAAATATTAATTGTGTGGAAAAGGACATCAGTGATTGCTCTTGGTGGATGTTTTTTGTAAGCTTATATTCAGTTGATGTTGTCATTAAGCAGTTATGCTTAATCATGCAGAAATGTCTTCCTGAAGACAATAATAGCCTAATGATGTTAATAGGATAACATGTCACAAGTAGTAAACCTTTACACTGCCTTTGTGCTTCCAGACAGCTACAGGCTTGCCAATCCTTCTTAAGACCTCAGCATTGGATTCAAATTATAATTAGACATGTGTACTCCACTGACAGTCACACTGTAAACTATTGTTTGATTGAAAGTCTCTCAAAAGAACATATCTTTGCCACTAGCAAAAACAAGAAGTCCACACTGTGGCTTCTTAACAAACAGGTTGCAGATGCCTTTTAGCTGTCATTCACTCTGTTATATTTTGAACATTCATTTTTTTTAAAGGCAGAGCTGTGATTCAGTTTAATTATGCTTCCACAATTAACATATACTAAATATGCGATTGACTGGGACACATTCTCACCAATGGGTAAACTGACATAATACAGAAAACTGGCATGTACATTTGGAATAAATAAAACATATGCTTTTTGTGTTCTTAGTTTGAAGTCAAATGTCACTATTAAATACAAAATTCAGTTATAAAATCTAATGTTTTTTCTTTGACTTCAACCTCTTGAAATCTTCTTATCTTTCAAGACCTTTATTCCTTGAGTCCCTGGATGGCTGCCTGCATGGCTGCCTGCAGTGTGTTAACGCTCTTCTTCCAGCCAAAGACATGCCTTGTGGCATCGTGCCTTGCTAATCCTTCCAAACAACAAGAAATCTACCCTTCCAAATCACTCAAAGAAATGCCATGGGGATACCAATCCTGAGGCAAAAATAGTACAAATGTAAATGTTTGTGTATTGATAATAAAATTGATCTTTGTTTTTTGAATAAACAGAAAATCTATCGCCTTGAGCTTGAATGTTGTTTTTTCATAATTGATTATTGTGTGCTTTATAAGAATGAGTATTTCAAGACAATATGTTCATAACATGCACAATTACAAATACAAGTCAAGGACAGATTGTTTAAATAAAGTACATTTACTCAAATAAAAGATCACATCACATTGTGAATGTTTCTTTTGTGCATAGGTTTTTTAAGAACTTACCTTACATGTTTATGTATTTATACAACCAGTCATTAGTCTGTTTGCTTTATAACAACATTTTCATTTTAATTCAGTAGTTCTACTACCAGCAACCACAAGTCTAAAGTTGAATGCAATGGATGCAATGAAACAACGTTGAATACTCTTTTTGGTAGCAATTATTAATCAGCTGTTCCATATGACAGAAAAAGAAAGAAGAACATCTTGTAAAACCTGTGCAGTGGGAAATAAGTTTCTGTCTCAACAATTGAGTGTGCATACACTGCCATCCAGTGGTCCCAACTACAATTGTATAATCAGAATCCTGGGTTTTATTTGGCTAGTCTAAATAGTAATACTTATACTACACCTTGCCATGTGTCCCCAAATAATGTGACACAGTTGTGCTTTCAGACTGACAAGCCGTTCTGAAATGGATGTATGATTAATGCTTTCAAATATTTGAGCTAATATGTTACGTTCCAGACATGCAGACATGTGATGTTATGTGTCAGGGTCCCTGTCTGACTTATACAGACTGTGGCCCTTTCTTTTTGTATTGGTTTGCATATAATATACAATACAAACGAAAAGAGAAATAAAGAGGGAAATGTAAGCCTGCCTACAATTATTTAAGATATTGTGTTGCTTATTTGTAAAGGCACTTAAACGCATAATTGAATAAGCAGGTATTTCTATTTTGGCAGGATCCTACTGTATGATATAACATCGCATATTAGGAGGACAGTCACCTTACTAATGTTGCCATTAGTTTAAAAAGGATTCCAGTAAGAAAAGGTTAGGTTATAAAGAAAAAACTATCCATAAGAGAAGAAAAAAAAACGCTCAAAAAAATGTTAAAACGTATTTTGACCCCCACGGCACTCCATACGTGAACACTGGATGACGCTAGTTACGTAGAGTCGTTCACATTAGCAAGCGTTATCATTGTTAGCTGAAGAACATGTATTACCGAATCAGATAGTCGTTATTTAAGTGTGCTCACTTATAACTTATTGGTGTCGGTATTTACACATCTACACTGTGGACGAAAATGACTGATGTCACAGAGTCCCTGACCAAAGAGGGCTGGTAGGTAGCATTGTAGCTAACGTCAGTGAGCTAGCTAACTCAATGAGGTGCCAGATTGGTGTTGGCTTGCAACACTAATCATTATTAGCTATACATTGACTTTATAATTTTGCGAGAGCACAACGGTTTCCAAAGTAAACACGACCAATTCAGTCTGTGTGGATCGTGGCAACGCTATTACTTATACGGCTATCTAACTTCGAGCTAGCGAGATAAATAACATTAGCTTGATATACCATTAAAGCTAATACACAATTAGCTTGCCATTATAGTAACGAACACCTATGACTGTACACTTTGTGTTAACCGATAAGCAGTGATTCAGTGGTCAAAGAGCGCTGGATTCAGCTAAATTAAAACACTTGCAACGATTTTGAAAGTCAGAAAACGCCTGGTTTCTGTAACTTGACGTTGTTTATATCTCATATTAATATATGTGCTGAATATTTTAGATGATCGCTGCCTTTAAACGACATAATATTAACATTTACCCTCCTATACTTGTGCGGTTTTGTAAATGGTATGGTCCCTACTGATGTGTTGCACTCTTTCCCAAATATTGCAATTCTATATTTTATAGATGCCGCTTCGAAATTAAAGGACATCTGAATAATTTTTAAGGGGGCAGATTCAGCCAAATATATATTCTGATGTGAGAGGTTGAGGACCTGGTTCCCGCCTTTAACAACCATAGCCACATTATTAAGCCTTACCACGTGGTGAAACACATTTTTAAAATCTCGAAGCTGTTCAAAACATGTCCTTAATTGTCTAACATTACAGCAGATATACAGTAGTAGATAACTTGTGGTTATGATGGCAATGGTATTTGTGTCTTTTACAATGATATTGTGGTTGGGCAAACTCACCTACCTGTGGAAACAACTGTCATCTCTCCTCTCCACCTTGTCTGTTGTCTCACAGGTACCTCAGCGATGAAGGCATAGCAGAACTGAAAGGATCTGCACAGAAAATAACTCCCAATGACATTATTCGTATTGCACTTAATGTAAGTTTAATTTAGCAAGTTCTACATATGCAACTTATTTCAACTGAAATTGCTTAGTATGTATTTAACAGTATGCAAAACAGTATTCAACAATGTGTTCTCACAATAATTATTACATTTGATTTCATTAGGCCATTAATTCTAAAGCACATACTGATGTACTCACCAAATAACCATGCTAGTTGAACAGACAAAGCTAGAAGCACACAATTGGAAATTCTTTCTTTATTCTTTCTTTTGAGTGAATGTTCAGTATATTTGATATTTTGTAAGTGAACTAAAAAGCATATTATTGAGCTTATTGCTATCTTAGAATGAACCTTTTATTGGCAGACCCAGCATCTGCCAGTTAATTGCAGGCACTTGTCCACTGTCAAAACACGATGTCGGAAAATAAAATGGGGCCCAAAAATGATTCGAAACATATATTTTAAATTGAAAGAGTAAACAGAAAAATTCACTAAGCTATTCATGAAGACCGGTAACAAAGACGGAAGAACCACAAACGGCCTTGGAACTTGAAAAGCTTTTCTGTAAGACACACAGTGAAACTTCTTACCTGACTTGCAACAGCAGACAATTCCTTAACACACAATAGTTTAATTTACTACAAAAGCTGTGTCCTTTTATGTTTTGGCCAGATGCTGCAAACACCATTTTTACTTATCACAGCACACCTAAACCAACCAACCAACATTTAGCAACTTAATTCTGGACCTTGTACTTCAGTGAAATCTTTAACATAATTTTAGGATTAATTTGGACCATTAGCTGCTTTACTCGCTTTATTCTTTTATCACAGAACCCTGATTTCCCCATTTTCTCTACCCTGTTTGGAGCCTTGATGCAACCTTTTGAAATAATTGTGTTTTAGATAAATTCATTCCAACTTCAACATAAAGAATCAATTCCTGTTTTAGTTTTACTGGGGATATAAAAGCCCTCTGCTTAGAGATATTGTTGCCGCAGTAAAAAAACAGGAGTAGGTCATAGACCCTCTTGGGATTACTGCCTCGTTGCAGCCAACAGCTCTGATTCAACAGATGTTTGCAGGACGGAGATCATTAGAAAACAATTGACCTTTATGTTCGTATCAAAAGAGTTATGAGATTGTTTGAAAATATATAACTGTTAAATCTACAGTAAACCACAAATGTAAATGTTGAAATTATTTAAATTAGATTGTGCTTAATAAACTATGGAAATCAAAATGACGACATCTTTTACACCATATAATATAAACTGCATAGTTTGAGAACTACATATATGCCTTTATAGCAGAAAAGCATGAGAACTTGATGGTTGTTTCTGGGGTTGAGGGTAGGTGAAAGGCTTCCTTTCTTTCTAACAGGCAAATTAATACAATTAGTTTTTCTCTGAAGCACACTACAGTGTAGGTAGTCACATCTTTGGATGCATATATCTATTCCATTATTCGTTTGTTGTACTTTTGGCACAGTATTTGTTATTTTCAATTAAGCAGTGTCTCATTTGCAGAGTGACCTCAGGCCTATTGGGAGAAAATGTATACCGCCAGACATCAATAGTGGAAGAATTGAGAAGGTGAGTGCTACACAAACTATTATACAGCCAGTACAAAGTGATATTTATGATATGTTTCTGGGAAATAAAGTGCTACTATGGTTTTTTCAGCTCAGTCAGTGCAGGCTGTAGTTCTCATGAGAGCCACTGGATGGCCCTGACACACTGACAAAGAAACATCCGAAAACTGCTCGAACTGCTTAAAACGGGGGTTAAGCAACTGAAAAAAAAAAATGTAAAAACATTGTCAGAATATTAAATCATAATTCTATGTGGGCATAACCCATTCAGACATCTTTACATGATGCTTGTCACTCTGGTCATACCCATTTCCTCTTACATTGTATCTCTAACAGAGAGTGTCATCCGAGCAACTATAATTACATTAAACATACAGATTATAGTAAAGCCTGTGGATTGCATTAACAGGTGTTACAGTCATATTTTCTCGGAAATACTAAAACAATTTTTTGAGAGAATTTGAATCTGAATCTATTCAAAAAATAGTCGCTGAATCAAAAATGTAGCTATGAATTTAGCAGGAATATACCTTTTCTGATACACGTATGCTAAATAAAGAGAGCAAAAACTCAATGGCTTCAGAGTTCTATGCTGGCACAATCTTCCCCCACAGGCTGCTGTTTTTGCCTTTTTAAACCATAATTAATTTGCTGTCTCTTGCACATGGCCAGTTGGAAGGTCCATATGTTCTTCAGGTGCAAAAGGTGAGGAATGTCTCGGCTCCTAAAGACCGCGAGGAGTGCCAGGGCGCGCCGCGAATGCTGCGTCTACAAATGACAGATGGGCACACCATCTGTGTTGGATTGGAGTTTAAACACCTGTCTAAAATCAGGTACCCATATAAGTGTCGTGTTGTGTTTAGGAATATGTTAAGGTAGTGCAATCACTGGCATTAGGTATACTTTTATTCCATAGGAAGTTAAATGTATAAAACAAATTGTAAATAAAAACACATTTTTAGTAGCAAAGGAGGCTGTCATTAAGCCAATTCATCATATATTTCAAAGCAAATGTGTAAGACGTTGCCCTCACCCTTCCTTTTCACCTCCTTGTGAACACTCACCCCACCACATGCTCAATTTTCCATCTATTTGCAATTTCCACATGCTGGCAGCTATCTAACAATTTCCAGCCTTAATTACATCTCCATCCCAGCAATGGTGGCCTTGGTGACTGCTGCCATGGTGACTAGCCAGTCTGTACAGGCGGAGTGGCCAGAATGTGGGCCTTGACTTCCTGATGGGAAGCGAGGAGAGAACAGAACAAATCCCCTCTTTATGAGCGGCACACGCGCACTGGCTGCCAACAGCGGTGCCTCGTGTTTCTTATGAAAGTGTGCGTGAGGCCATAAGTGTGGGGCAAAGAAGGATGAGATGGATTACAGGACCGTTCGGTGTGTGACACAGTGATATAGAGGAATGATGATTAAGCAGTGAATTGCTACATTGAGTGAAGTGTAAATAGTGTGTGTATACGTGCTTGTATGTGATTGAATCGAGGATAGAGAGAGCCTCACTTCTGCATTGGCCGCTATCACGAGAACAGCATCTATCCCAGAGGTTTGGAGTGAAATCCCTAATTGTTGCTTTGGCATCCGGCATCAGTAGCTGGAAATCCCTCTAAGTCTCTGTGCTTTCTTAATGAGAGAGGCAGAGGCCTTATCAGGCCTGATGAGATAGAGGGGGCTTTTAATTTACCATGAGGATGGGTGAGCAGCTGGGATTATTAATAGTCTCTCCTAGCCTTGCCACCCATCCCCTGGCACGGCTCCATGTCATTTATAAAGTGGTATGGGCAAGGCAATAGGGTGGGGGACCTGGTATAAGCAGTTCTAATGTCCCAGACCCTTGAATGTTTTGCCATTTAACAGTCAGTTAAACAATGTAATAACAGCAATTATTTTATACATACATATTTATTGTTTTTATTTGTTTTTTCTCAGTCTTAATACCCCCCCTGGAACAAAGGTAAAGCTCCTTGGTACAGTCCAGGTTAAAAATGGTCTTTTACTGCTCGATGACTCAAAGATCTCTGTCCTTGGAGGAGAGGTCTTTCAAATGGTGGAGAAATGGGAACTACAAAGGGTGAGAGGCGATTTTGTCATGATGACTCAGCTTCTTTTGATAATAAATGTTGAAACCATATGATAGAAATCATTGTAAATCCGCTTTAAAAGCCTGTTTTCAAACTTTGAAATGATTTCTAGAGTCTGGCCAAACACAGCAGGAGTAACATTGGAGCAGAAGGTGGACCCCCTCCCTTTGTGGCGTTTGATCAGGTAAGGATAGTACAGATAACAGAATAAAGTGAACTGATCTCTGAATAATATACACTTCCATCACATTGTCAAACAATGGAGATTCATGCATAGTTTTAGATGTGAAATAAGCAAGTATACTCTTTTCCTAGAGCCTTAAAAAACGATTAAACCTCCTTAAATTCTTCCAAATTGTTTGGTTTTGCCCATTAAAATGTAGTTTCTCATTTGAGAAAATACTGAGCCTGAGTCAATACTCCCTTGCAGAGGATCACTGTATCAGCTTGACACTTGGATTTGGGGATTTCCACCCACTCTAAACTCCAGACTTGCTAAAGCTTTATAAAGTAACATGAAGAGCATTTGTGTATCTTCACACAGCGTTCTCTTTCACAGTTTAAATGTATTTCTAACGCTGAGCCACTCTATAACTCTGTGTGGATTTGATGTCTGCTTTGGATCATTGTATATAAATAATATAATTTTCATGGGAAACTGGCGCTCGGATGCAGATTACAAAAATAAATTGGTGCTTATATTGTCCTTGGCTCTATGTTTCATTTTCTCCCATCTGATTAGTTCAATGTATTTTATACCCCATCAGACAATAGAATATGTTTGCCTCATTCTGGTTCCCTTACATTTTGTTAGGCATACTTATAATGAGAATCAAAAGAAATTAGCATGCAAGTTTGAGTCGTCAAATTATTAATCAACACACTTAACCTTAATGATCACTACGCATGCAGATTCCCCACAAGAAGCCTGGCGTCTCCATGGAGCTCTCAGACATTTATCTTTGGGAACTGTTTTCTATCGAACATAAAATAAGTTAAATGTCCATTGCAAGGTCTGTGAATTACCCAGAGTACTAGAGATTTTTTCCATCTTCAAGATTTTTAAAGATTTTTAGGCCTCAATTAAGCCTCAGTGGTGGAGAGCTCAAAACCCGGGGAAATTAAAACCTTGCTGTATAGCTTGCGTTGCGCTGCCTTATTGGGGCGAAAAAACCCACTTCAAAGATATATATTGTACACCTAATGCATTTGGCGTGTTATCAATTGCAAGTCATTAACAAGTTTTCCACGTTTCGTCAACCCTGGCTTTATAATCGTGCCTCGTATCACTTGTCCTGCTCGGAGGGCTAATGCAACAAAAAGATGGTGAAAATACTTAATTAGTCTTTGCTCCAGCCACTTGTTCACTTCTGTGAGTGATCACACACACAGGCATGAGACAGCTGCAGGAAGTGTTGAGTATCATATCAATACTTCCACCTGATAAAACAATACAGTTCAAAGTTGAGATTCATAACATTAACAATGAGCTGAGAGGCACCCTTGAGATTTGCGATACAGTTGGTTGCTACAACAATAACTTAAACACCATAAGCGACTTTATTATACTTCTAACTCCAACAAAATGTGGACATGTCAAGTGCAGTGATCCTTTTTTAATGAGCTCTAAATGACCGAGGAAGATCTTTGAGCTCATGTTCTTACTCTCTCTTTTTGCTCTCCGTAGAGGTGTGAGAGGAAGGAGGAAGTGGACACCAGAGACCTGGATCAGAGGAAGACCCTGAAGTCTCAAAGTGTTGCTAAAGGTCCGGACGAGAATGATGAGTTTGAAAAGCAACGGACAGCAGCGATTGCTGAGATAGCCAAGACCAAAGAGGTATGTAAACCCTTATCATGGGCCTTTATCACATCTTGGAAATGGTAGCCACAAGGTACTTTTGTATTGTTTTAACTGTCTCAATATATAAGCTTTCATGGACATGAATCTATAAACTATATTCAGTGATGCAAATTAGTCGCTTTTCGGCGCCTCCCGCTTTTTTAACGCCGATTTGGGTGACTTGTGTAATTCGTGGAGAACCGAAGAGTTTTCGTTTTCGTTTGGGGGGGGTGAGTCCGTCCATCAGTCGGACGGACGGATGGACGGACAACTTCTCACTTCAAAAAAGAAGAAGAAATCTAGATTGCAAAATAATTAAACGAACGAGTGCCTGTTTTTCCTGGCCAAGGACAGGTTCCTTGAACACAACAGGAGCGTAACGTGGTTATGTCTCGTCTGAAAGGAGTCTAAACTAGAGTGCGGACGGAGAGCACCGGAACGCCGCTCCAGCTCTTCAAATATTGCAGTACCCATAAGGAGCCGTACACATGCCGCAGTGTTTGCGTGGCTGTGTCTTTAGTTGTAAGCACAGTGGCGATCTGTTATTAGCATCTGGTTAGCTAGCTATGCTAACGAATTTAAAGAGCTTTTCTACAACCAGGTGGAAGAGAACTCTCTCCTGAGAGGCTCAAATAACCTCAGCTCAGTGAGGTTAAGGCACACCTTGATATGATCATTATAATTATTAATGAGACATTAGAGACTAAATTATTAACAGTTATAAAATACTATATGACTGTAACAAAAAAGTTGTTAAAAATAACAAGAATACAGTTTGAAAGGGGAGTGATTTGTAAAATATCCAAAAAGAAAAATCTGCTTCCAGTTCTGTTTCATATTGATGTTGAAAGATGTATCCATAGATCTCCTCATGTTGTTCTCAAAGTGCACCAGATTGATGCTTTTAACTTAAATATTTAAAAAAAAATCTTCCCGGTGAAGCATGCCCCCGGACCCCCCTAGAGGAGGTTAGGTCCCCCCCACTTAAATCATGTTCACATGGATACTAAATACATTTGCACACATCTTGTGTCCATATCTTTCTGNCCCGCGCGCGTGCCGAATATTCGCTGCTTATTACCACCGAATATCCGGAGCCCGAAAAATGGTATTCGGGACAGCCCTAGATCATTGACACGTTACCATGATCCACACACAGCTATGCAATCAGGATTAAACATCAGTGGTAAATAAAACAACCACAAAATCATAAATGGAATACCAAATCATATCATCCATGGACGAACACAATTATTAAATAAAAAGCATATAAAAAATATTCACTTCCTCTGCGTTTTCCACGGCAGCAGTGAGTTCATGCATTAAGAAAACATGACTGTATTCCCTTCAGCTCACAGTAGCCAGATGCATGACTACCAATAGGGACTTTACCCGTGGTGGGGAACTGTTGTTATGAGTACTTTCTTACTGAAGAACTGGATGGAAAAATATTATTAAAATATTCATGAAATGTGTTTCATACATCAAGTACCAAAGTAGTTGAATCCAGACTATTTAGCTTACCATCAATGGAGAAAACTCCCATTTTGGATTCAAGAAAGTCAAAAAGAGTGCTTGGACCAGATGGCCTTCCCCCTGGTCCCTCCTCTTCATCTTCATTTCTAGACCTGCCTCTTCCCCTTCCTCTGCCTGAGAAGAACACAAAAAGAAGAACATGCAAACCCAAATAAGAACAGTTGGAATGATGAACCTGGACGTTTAAATATAAATACCTTCTGGTCCCAAGTGTCTACATTTAAAGTAGTTATAGCGGGCTCTGTCTGCATACATATATGTGTGTCTGAAGAAAAACTACAGGAACATATAAACACTCCTTCAAGTTTCTCTAGAGGGAATTCAGAAGAAATCCATATTTGAGGGATTGCCTCCAAACGGCTCTCAACATGATGATGGCTGAGCCAGCGGCTAGCAGCTAAGAGTGCTAACAGAGCGAACAATGCAAAGGCAACAGAGCTGACTTAAACTCATGGCCAATACAACATTTGACATTTCCGAGACAATGCTGTGTATCATGATTGGTGTATTTTGGGGGTAAGCAGTGTATGTGCGGAATGCAGAAACAGAGATAAGCCAGTGTTGCAAACCAACAGTGAATCACATGAAACACAGAGGGAGAGCGCCTTTATTGTCTGCTTAGGATGACATTACTCCCTAGTGTATTTACAGAGCAAATTTTTGTTTCCCCGCTTTATTAATTCTCTGAATACCGTATATAATAATAAAAAAATAAATAAAAAAAAGTTCAGTGTGGAAAAGTTAATGTTCTGTAGCTGATTCAAATAGATGATGTATAAAGCAACAATGGAAAAAACGTCCCTGTGCTAAACGAGTTTGGGGGGGGAGCAGTAGTTCATTCAGGGTGACAAAATATGTTCCAAGTTACTGCAAGTTGATTTTCCGAAGTAGAATATCCATCTTAAATGTGACAGTTTGCCTGGGAAAATAGTCAGTTGCAATTTTCACGCCCTTAATCTTTAGAAACATAAAAGTGCTTTAGGCTATGTGGCATATTCTCAAAGCAAGATTTTAAAACACAGCAGGTGTGCGTGTGTGTGAGTCGAGTGTACCTCTGGGTGGGGGCCTGATAGGTTCATCTACCACTGGGCTAGTTCTGGCCTCAAAAGTTCCTGTCAGTAGGCTATTTAGTGCCACTTCCAGGTTGTTGTTGTTATCCATTAGCGCCAGCCGAGCATCCTGCATGTTAAAGCCCATCTCCATGATGTCTCTCAGAGCACGTTCATCCACCTACACAAAAGGTGGATAACATTACATTAGGGAGAAGAAAAACAAAGATTGCAGAGAGAGAAAAAGACCTGTGGATGGATATTGGTTTGCTAAGTAATATTAGACTCATATGTAAGGTTTGTTGTGACAGAGAACCCTCCTTTTAAGAGGACATCTAGGTTGGATTCGTGGGCATTCAAGTTACAAACTATCATTAAAAAATCCCCAAGCAAAACACTTTGATATCCTGTTCCATCCTATTTATACGTTTAGCCCAAAGCTGGCTGAGTTCTGCCTAGAAGCTGGCGGGTCGACACACAAAGCTAGACGAATGGACTGCCACTTGATTGCAATAAAGGTGGCCAGGCCTCATATTCATTTCGATTTCCACTATACTATAATCAATGCTTCACATAGTCTATGAGCCATGAAATAAGACTTTAATCCAGACAAAAGAAACCAAAGAGAAATGCAGTACAAGTTCCCTGCTTTAAATTGCTTTGTTGCAATGAATAGAGGCTTCAAAAATATGAGGTGCAATCATCATTTGAAACTAAGAGGCATTCGTAACGACCGTATATTAAACAGACTTTTGTAACAGTTCAAAAAAAGTTTGTCTTCTCACCAGCTCTCGATAGTTTCCATCTTCTCTGCTTTCAGGTCTTTCAAATCGCTCTTCTCGTCTCCTCTGCTGGTATGTGTCTCGGCCCCGGAAAGAGGAAGCAGCAGTGGATAAATTACTGCCCGCATTCTCTCCACCACCAAATGTGCGCGGCCCCTAACAAGACAAACAACAGAGATCAATACAGCCTCAGCGCTGCACAGAAAAAGAAAGCCGACACAGGAAACCAAACTTTCTAGTTGACAGTGGAGGTAGGAAGTTACTGTTAAAAGCAGTCGATGTTGAGATGAATGTCAATAAGGGGCATTCATTATCGAATCCGGGCCAAATCAAACAGTTTGTGCAGAAATTGCAATCAATGAGAGAAACAGCCAAATTAGTGAACATGGCAAAAAGAGCAGTCCCTTCTCAACATACATTAAAGGTTATTAAAAACATTTTGATAAACACAATTATAATATCAGTGATGCAAACACAGGTATGGTGAAAAAAGAGAGAACTATTCGAAGCAGAAAGAAACATCGTAATATACCATCTGACAAAGGCCTGTGCTATAATGCTTCAATTAACTGGCTGTTCTTTATAATATACTCAGATCAATAGGAGACAGAGATGTTAAGTTATAAATCAAGGGTTTTTATTATTATTTACAGCAGGAGTGGGGAACCTTTTTCCTTTCAATTTTTACAACATCCTCCGAGGGCCGTACAAATTATTGAACTCAACCTCTGCTTAAAAAAACTAAAATCACAGCCAATTCATTTGGCCTTTCTTTCATGCTGTGCAAAGAACAAGCAGATATCTTACCATGACTTGCGCAAGTATGGGGTGGACCTAACCTCCTCTAGGAGGGTCCGGGGGGATGCTCCCCCGGGAAGATTTTTTTTTAAATGTTGAAGTTAAATATATCAATTTGGTGCACTTTGAGAGCAACATGAAGAGATCTATGGATACATCTCTCAACAACACCCATTTGAAACAGAACTGGAAGCAGATTTTTCTTTTTGGATATTTTACAAATCACTCCCCTTTCAAACTGTATTCTTGTTATTTTTAANAAAAGAATGCCGTGAATAAACCGAAATACACGTGTCGAAGCGGTTTGCTGCTGATTACTACGCCCCCCCCGCGCGGAACGAATATTCGCTGCTTGTAATCAGCAGCGAATATTCGTTCCGCGCGGGGGGGGCGTAGTAATCAGCAGCAAACCGCTTCGACACGTGTATTTCGGTTTATTCACGGCATTCTTTTTGTTATTCTACAGTATTGTTGTTTTATAGTTATTTGTTAATGTATACAACCCAATTTGTGTTCTTTCAAATTGAAAAGGATATTGCATTGTGTGTGTTACTTTCGTTGCAGTTGTATATGTCTTAAGTGTAATTTGGCTTGGCTTTCTATTTTGTATGGACATGCTTTTATTTTGAAGGAGAGTTAGCGCAGATGACAGGAAGTTGTTGTTGCTATGGAAACAACGTGATGGAGATTAATGGAGAAAAAGTAATATCTACATATAAAGACGGAGAAAGTAAACGATAACGTTTATGGTTAAGTCTTAGCACCCCCCGAAGAGGCACAAGCTCTTATGTTGATATTGGAGATTACAATAAATTCAAAAAAAAAAGAGAAGAATATCCGAATAACGAAATTGAAACCCGAATAGTACTCCAACGAATGAATATTCGGGTACAGCCCTACAACTTAACCCTTTTTGTTTGTAATGCTGATGGATTTTAAGATGCTTTCTCATTCTCCTTCTATGGTCCAATTTTGCAGAGTTGGAGAGTCAAACTTTGATGTATTCATGAACTTTAAGTCCTAATGTGGAAACAACATGGACGCTACAAAGTAGATGTGTTGCACATAAGAAACAGTCAGTCTTTCCATTTCTTTGTGTCTGTCTCTTTTAAAATGAGACTTTTTCATAACTAACCCTCTCTCTGTCTCTGCAGGTATGAGATCGGGGGTTGTTGGACGGTCAGGGACTGCATGGTTGTCTACAGGAACACCTCTCATGTCCGCTGTCAGTGTCAGAGACTGGGCACCTTCGGTGTGCTGATGGACAGCTCACACAGAGAGGTCAGTGGTTGGTGGAGACCTACTTACAGATCCACATATTAACAAACATTTCATTTAATTCATCATCATAATGAGGTCTGTATTGGATTAATTGAACATCTCCTATCCTGATCCCGCTGTTTAGACACACATACCTATTTCTGCAAGTGTCTCAGTTCTTTTTTTTACTTTTAAACATCTAAGCTGAAAATTGCTAGATTTAGGATGTAAAGGTTTGAAATCCCACATAATTAATTCGGCCTAACATTCTGAGGGCTAAAGGAAACTTGTTACAGCTGTAGAAGGTTTTCACGGTTTAATACAAACCCCCTGGCCATCGCGGCACAGCATACTAAGTGATGATGGATCAGATGTGGATGTTTGAGGTTAGAAGAGTGAGGAATCAGAAACCTCATGCCTCAAGATGAATTTAAAGTTCTATATTTCTACAAATAAGGTGTAGTTTACATGAATTGAAGACATCTTTAAGATGTTTATTCCTCATCATTAGATCCTCTTTTTCTTTTCCTCTTCCATTCCTGTCCATCTTCCATCAACTGACCCCCTCTCTCCCTCCTGTCCTCTCCCTCTGAGCAGCAGCTGGAGGGGGATCTTGAGACCCTGGCCCTGATCACTTACTCCTGTCTGTGCCTCTCCATGATGGCCCTCCTCTTCAGCGTCCTGGTGCTCTCCTGCCTCCGAGGCCTCAAGTCCAACATGAGAAGCATTCATTCAAACACAGCGGCGGCCATGTTTTTGTCGGAGCTGGTGTTTCTGCTCGGGGTCAATCAAACGGAACAACAGGTACGATTCTGGTGGGGGAAAGTGTGTTTGTTTCTGTCGCCCTGTTTGTTTTGTTGTGGCTTTAACTTCCTTGTCTTACTCATTTGTATCACTACAGTTCCCAACTTGCAGTGTTGTGAATGAATAAGATGTATTTTTCGCCTCTAAACTGTTCACACCTCCACACTGCAACTACCAGTTTAAATGACCTTGCCTTACACTGTTTTCCTTCTAATCACCCTCTGCGTCTCTCCGTCCAGGTCATTATCTCTTCATCTGATGTGTGTCTGGTTTTGTAATGCTCCTCCTTATTGTTAAAATACTCTTTCTGATATACTTACTACTTTTTCTTCCTCTGCCTCTTCACTTGATCTCTTGATTCCCTCCTCTCTCCTGACATCTTTAATTTGTCAGTTTTGCTGCATCGCAGATGTGTGTGTGTGTGTGTGTGTGTGTGTGTGTGTGTGTGTGTGTGTGTGTGTGTGTGTGTGTGTGTGTGTGTGTGTGTGTGTGTGTGTGTGTGTGTGTGTGTGTGTGTGTGTGTGTGTGTGTGTAATTCATCACCTGGCTATATTTCTGCCAAGTTGCTGCTCTTTGTCTCTGGCGGTTTTCTAAGGAATCTATACTGAGCTTCTTTTAACCTCAAAATCTTGGATGTCAAATTCTCCTTTCTTTATCTTTAAGATGTAGTGGCTAAGCCGTAGTATTTCTCAAATCAAGTATTTCTCCTTTTTCCAAAGTCCATGAAGGTTGATAGACAGGAATGTTTATTTGATTATTTCAGCTGCTCTCCTCCAGAGTTTGACAGAGAGAGAAAGTCAAATTAGATCTGAGTTCAGTTGTCGCACTTTAAGCCAAAACAGGACGGACAGCTTGAGCCTTTTGAGCTGTAATCCTCCTTATCTGCTGTTTATATTAGTTTAGGACACATGAAGAAATCACACCAGACTGTTTGTTCTCACTTTATTCTTTTTGTATCAAAGCATGGTTCTAAAAGCTTGCTGTCAGTTGCCAGCAGCCATCTTTTTAACTCACAAACCTGTGTGTTATCAAGACTTTTTTATTTGATTCTGATAGACAGCACCTCAGCTCTCTTAGAAGACAGTGACTTGAACTTTCAGATGTGTCAGTTCTGTAATTTAGAGCCACTTGAGTTTGAATGGCATCTTTTTCCTCTGGTTAAACAAACAAAAGAGACCGAGGGACGGAGTTCAAATAAACCTCTTCAGACACGCTTGAATGCAGCCTCAGGGTAATTTCCTCCGAAAGCCTAAATGCTAATACAGTATACTGCATTATTCATGGTGAAGTTTAGCATTACTTCCAATTCAAACAGCAGGACTTATCTCACAAAAGTGATTTGGAAGTTTTTCTCCTGCCCTGACAGAAATGACTGGGATTCCTTCCTGATCAAATGCAAACCCTGGCATTTGATGGAGCTCAGAAATGTATGCTATGGCAGATTACAATTCTCCTAGCACTGATATGACATCCTCTCTGCATTTGCATCCCATCTAAAGCAATACATACAATTTCTACATGTTCTTCAATACTAATTGATTTAAAAAGTATTAAAGTAAATATATCACCTGTGTAATTTCCATAAAAGATGATTAAAGATTTAAATATATGATTTTAAATTAGTGGTTTAAGCAATGGAATTAATTATGAGCTGATAATCCCCTTAAAACCAGGAAATACAATTGCCTTAACGATCACATTACCTGCGTTCTTTGCTGTTTTCTTTCCTCTACCAACGGTGCTCACTGTCATTCCCATAATGGACGTTAACAACGCACTCTTGGGGGTTATTACTTTAATTCAGCACATTAATGACATCAATTTATATTCATATCAGTTATTTTGTACATTTCCTGCAGACTTACTCTAACATGCTGCCGTAAACTGTTCATTAGTCGCTTTAGTAATGAAATTATGAATGCCTGTTACTTCATTGCTGACACCTGCTGCGTTGTAATAAAGACTTGTTGGTGGCTTGCCAAGACGTCTGCATCTGTCCCAAGATCAATATAGAACATTTTTAATTTCCCTTCGTCTTTTCCTTTTTTTTTTTCATTGCCTCTCCTTCTCTTGTTTCATATCTGTCTTTTATTTTTCTTCCCCCTTCTGCTATATTCCCCGTGGTTTTTTCTCCTTCCTTTAATTATGATCTTTCTCTCGCCCTCCAGTTCCTGTGTACAGTCGTCGCCATCCTCCTGCATTACTTCTTCATGTCCACGTTTGCCTGGATGTTCGTCGAGGGGCTTCATATCTACCGCATGCAGACGGAGCAGCGCAACATTAACTACGGTGCCATGAGGTTCTACTACGCCATCGGCTGGGGCGTGCCCGCCATCATCACAGGTAAAAAACACACATACAGATGCAGACATGTGAGATCTTTGAGAAATGTGTCCGAAGCATGTCTATGCATCCATGTCCCTGTCACATTTATACATTTATGAAAACACACTGTCATATACGTACACACATCACACACACACAAAGTCACAATGAGTCTGGCTGTTCAGATAAGGTGTGCTTTTGACACTTGAATTAAATAGGTTTCTGTGACATTTTAATATAGAGATAGGAAAGTACACACACACACACACACACACCCACACCCACACAGACGCAGGCCATTTCTCCCTTGACACATATGGTAAGAAAGTAATATCTGTCTGCTTTTTTCTGTCTTTCTTCTTCTTTTACATACACACACAACCATTTCTCTGTCAACACCCGTCTCTGTGGCTTTAAGTGTCACAGTCTCACACACACACACACACACACACACACACACACACACACACACACACACACACAATTCCTCTTTCCTCCGGCTCGGAGATGTGTTTAATCTGTCTGTCCGTCTTGTTTAGGCGCTTCCTGTCTGCCTTACTTTTGCAATTCAATTTGCAAACCCTCAACTGACAGGACCTTGACAGTTGTCCTGACAAGGACACCAAGGAGTTTTCACAGTTCACATCACAAGTGTCCCAGTTCTAACCAGAACTGTGAATCAAGAAACATACTTATACTCACATCTCTGAAGACTGTCATTATGCATATACAGCCCAGTTGCCAATGACCTGATCACCTTTAACATGAGGATTTGTCCACTGAAATGATTACGAAGATAACTATTAACTAAAAAGCTTAATACCTAAGATGAATTGGGATATGTTCTTTTTACGTCTCTGAGCTGTCCTGCTACTATCACTCAGATGATTACAAGTACATGCTGTCACTTCCTGTTGTGTCTGATCTGACTGTGTGTGTCTCCTGCAGGCCTGGCTGTGGGCTTGGACCCAGAGGGATACGGAAACCCAGACTTCTGTTGGATCTCCATCTATGACAAACTCATCTGGAGCTTTGCTGGTCCGATAGCCATCGTCATACTGGTAACTGGTTTCGTTTCTTATATTCTCAATACGAATGTATGCAAACAAACTTATAGTGTAAACATTCACATGATAGACTTTTACTTAAGGGTTTACTGTTGATAAGCGTTCAGTTTACAGAGTTGTTTTTGTTTTGGAGAGAAACAACCATTTGAGCTTTTCAGATAAATTAAAATCTGCTTAGAGTACCAGGCTTGAACACTTCTTCAGATAAAATGTGTAAACTTCATTATGAATTTATCCTTAGCCAAGTGTTAATTGGCTGCACTCCGAATTCATTTAGGAAAGTCAACACATGTTGCTAATCCATAGTTTTAATAACTTCCCACATGAAGCTATAACCTTTTGCTCTACAACTTGACTGCACTTACATCTTAGGCATGCAACTGTGCCAGGCTTTTTTAAATTAATGAATAATTACAGTGCATTCTGGTCTGTTATCAGTGTTACTCTTTCATACACTTTAACCTTTATTAGATGTGGGTTTTTTATCAGTCATTTGTTCAACATGTCTTTTTTGTATTCACTAATTTGTATTTTTTAACTGTTTGAGCAAAGGAACCAAAACTAAATTAAAGAGCAATTCATTTGTCATTTAATTGTCTGTCTTTATCTTGAATTTATTCAACCTTTTTCCCTCTAAGATGACATATTTTATCCACATTGATTTTGTTTCATTTATCCTGACCCCTGATGTTGCTCACGGCAGTATTAGATTAGCTGAAATGCATTAAAAATGTTGCCTTATCATTTCTATTGATTTCCTTCTATCTAGATGAACGGAGGGATTTTCATGATTGTTGCCAAGATGTCTTGCAATTCCTCTCAGAAGGAGACCAAGAAGCTCCCTGTCATGTAAGTACTGGGCCACCATGGTAAAAAAAAACGTGTTTATCCTAATTAAAGATCTTCAAAAGATCAAACTATATAAAAATGGTCTAATTCAACTTCTAACAACCTTTACATAGCTTTAAAACTACAAACTAAATATAAAACTCCTACATTGTTTTCGCTGTCATACAAGTCGCTGTCATTAAACAGCAGTGGGGGGTGGAGTGTTGAAAACTGATCTGTGTTTGAATAACTTACAGAGAATATATTTGTATTTGTCTCATTCAGTCAATGTTAATTTGATAGACAACAATCATACGAGGCCTTTATCGATCAAACTATAACGACTCAAAGAAATCCCTTGAGCTCTGTGGTGCCTGTCTTTGCTTCGCTCCAACAACTCTGTCTTTTTTTCCCAAAAATGTCTCTCTGTTGCCTTTTTCTGCACTCTTCCTCTCACTCGTCAAGCCTCATTCTAGCAGGATAATTAGGCGAAGTGACCTTATACATAAAACATGTACCTATTAACAGGTGCTTGTCCCTGTATAAGTCATAAACTTGCACATCCAAGTAGGGATGCGACATGTTGATGTTGTCTGTCTAAAGAACTGCAAACGTATGCAGATGTTATGAGTCATTATGACATGTAAATGTCAGCCTTTTATTACCCATTTCTCCCCCATTGATCTCCATGTTTCTCTCTCCAGAGCTACTATTCGCAATGCCTTCTTGCTGTTGCTGGTCGCCACCTCCACCTGGCTGTGTGGTCTGATGGCTGTGAACAACAGCATCCTGGCTTTCTATTACATATTCGATGTCCTCTGCTTAGTCCAGGTAGGAACGCAGTGCATCTTAATACATGTTTTCTTTACTCTAACACTGATTCCATTTCCATCCGGATAATAACAGCTATCGCATTTGTATAGACGGAAGATAAATACATATTTACTGCCCAAATAGTAGTTACTTTTTTAATTGCTCAAATAACAAGAGGAACAAACATTGCTTATATAAAGGAAAAGACGTCATATATCCACGTATCCAAACTTAAACTGTGTCTTTCTACTGCTCTCTATCCCAGGGTCTGTCGGTGATGCTGGTCTTCACTTTGTTCAACTCAGAGGTCAAAGAGGCCTGGAGCGTAGCCTGTTTGGGAAAAAAGAGTCCCGGAGAGGACCCACCAAGACCATCGCAGAACACTGTAAGTTACACACACACACACACACACACACACACACACACACACACACACACACACACACACACACACACACACACACACACACACACACACACAGAGAGAAACAGCCTCCGTACTACAGCACCTTACTGGTGCAGCTTGTCTCTGCTGACCCTTAAGAATATAGGTTGTCTGGTATCTTGGTCTGGATAGACGTATTATGTTATCACAGCATATTTTGTTAATAAAGATTTAAAAAAGATTATTATAACATTCTAATGGGGTGTTTGTCAGCTGTAGGACACTTGCATCATGATCACAAAGTCATTGACTATGTTTTAGTCTGTTCTACAGTATTCCCCTTTCTAGCTGCTCATTCACAATGTGGCCATTACGAAAGAAGCACAAAGACCCTCCTGCCCTCCATTCCTCCTTCCCTCCTATCCATCCATCTCTCCTGTCCTTCTGCCTTCAGGGTTTGTGACTGACCTAGATACAACTTTCTACGGACCAGTGAAACCCTGCCTGCTCTTAAGCCCACTTTTAAAAAGTTGTGTGTGTGTGTGTGTGTGTGTGTGTGTGTGTGTGTGTGTGTGTGTGTGTGTGTGTGTGTGTGTGTGTGTGTGTGTGTGTGTGTGTGTGTGTGTGTGTGTATCCACTTATATCTTGTATGTGTGTATGAACTTTTTAGTTCATAGCTCACTGCACTCCGTTTTCTTTGGCCTCTCTTGTTATGTCTCCTCTGTGCTTTCGCCAGTGTGTATTTTTCTGTGCGTGTTTTTGAAGTTGTGTATGCATTTCCACAGTGTAGAGTAGAAATCTAAAAAAAAACTAAGAAAATAGTTCCCCAAGACAAGGATTCCATATACAAGGGTTACGGAACAGAAGGTTCCAGAGTTTTCAAGACAAGGAGTCGGAATTCTCCTTCCTTCCAGCCACATTCAGCCACCTGAACACACACTGTTCACTTCTGTCTGTGCCATCAACTGATCAACTGTGCTTGACTACTCTCTAGTCTCTCGTTGGAAAATTGTAATTGTGTTTTTAAGTCTGTTCTGTACTCTGATACACGGCAACAGCATATCAATGGAGTCCATTGAAGAAAGCAGAGGCAACTCTCCTTTGGCTCTAACTACTCCACGCTCTGTTACCCCTGCTTCTACCCAGGATGGTTCAACAGTCAGCGAGAGTATTCAGAAATCCAGCGACAACGTGTCCATGGATTTCCTTGAAGGAAGCAAAGGCATCTACAGACCCATCAGGGTGTTGTTCGACGCCCCCATATATTAGCGGGCTCTGCAGATCTGCTGGCATGTCAGCTCTTACAAGACCAAGATCGCACTGGTGATTGAACTTTTGCGGCTTCAGCAGAAAGACATGACCCCATCTAAGGTGACTGTCGATGACATGACAGACCTGCTGCGAGAAGAAAGCAAAAGCTCTCTGAGAGTGCTGCTCTGGGACTTTGAACTAGAGGACCGTGAGGAAGACGTTGCAAAGCCTCTTCTCAATCTGTTGTGGGAGGTAATCAACAGCATTAAAAAACCGAGACATCGTGTTTGAAGCCAGAAGGCTGCTCATGTCCCCGGGTGACATCCCTGCTGGTTTTCGTCCCCCAAAGCTGATGAACTTGGCTCAGGAGTACGGCAGGAGACTGACAGAGCGACTGCAGTTTGTCCCCAGCTCCAAACTGCTCGGCCCACGAGATGTGGTGTTGCATGTGGTACCAAAAGTCCTACAAGGCTTCTGGTCACCTCCTCGAAGCACCTTTCTCAACATGCCCTCGCAGAAGCTCAATCAAATGGCTGTTGGGGTTCTGATCGACTGTGCTTGACTACTCTCTAGTCTCTCGTTGGAAAATTGTAATTGTGTTTTTATCCGAGATGATATGGTCATGTCTATCCAGGAAAAGCTCAGACAGATGTACCCGGCTCAAGACATCCGGAGGAGGGAGCTTAACTCCTTTGCAGCACAAATACTGAACACCATTGCAGATGCTGCAGTGAGTGAGATGTGTGTGCTGTTTGAGCCTCAGAGCAACACACGTGGTTGAAAATTCAAGCAACAAAACCAACTGCAGCCAGCTAGCAGATGTAGTGGATGGATGGTGCAAAGACCATTCACACCCTGGCTGGAGATCTGAATGAGGAGCTTGGTCTGGAGGAAGACAGAGAACAAGGCCCTGCTGTGACTCTGGCTCTTCCAACCCCCCATGATGGACCTGTTGTCATGACTGCAGCGGAGGATGAACGGACAATTAGGAAGCGTGAGGTCAAAAGGAAGAGACGAGTCCAGCCCTTCTTGGTTCAGAAACAGTCTGATGCTGCTGCCTACCTGAAGACGCAGACTGAGAACGTTCCTCAGTTTTCCATTTCATTTCTATTACTGTTGAACAATTAAATTAATTGTTGCATTTAAGTCATACTGTTTCATTTTTTATGATTTTGAATTCATGATCTAACAGTTACTGAAAGTTTTTAAGGTGCATTTCTAATATGAACAGTTGTGTAATTGAAGGGGTACGTTAACCATAGCTGTTAACCATACCTGGATTTCAAGGTGATGGGTAAAAAGATAAATTACTTTGTAAAAGTGTCTCTTGTTTTGCTGTTTGAAATCATTCTCTAAAATCAAAGCTTATTGTTAAAAATGTAAACCAGCAAGGCTTCCCCTAATTATATTAGGTAGTATATTAGTTAGTCATATTGAATTCAAACAGAAGCTTGAAGTTCATTAAACATTTTGATTAAAATAATAATAAATAAGTTGGAAAATATTTTTGAGGTTGAACAAAAAAAAAATCAACCATGGTCAAGACTTAAATAGGAAGTGTGTATCTTACTTGGTTAAATAAAGAGTAGCAATATACCATCAAATATGTCGGGCAAAAAAAACAAACGTAATCCATAAACTGAGATCTATTTATTATGGCAGGGAGACTAATAAAGGATGAAAAGGAAATAGGGAGAATCAGTCCTGCTGAATCCATCCCTGCTCAGTTCCTGGCCTAATTCAGCCCAATGTGTGTAATATACTGTATGCCGTTCATGTATACACTATCTGGAACTCTGTGTGTGGTGTGGTGTGTGTGTGTTTGTACCTGGTTGTTAAACTGTCCAAATATATCCTCAGCAGGCCCATAAATGTCTGCCATGTCAAATGTGGTCAGACCAGCATCTACGTAGGCCTGCATGGCCTCCACTGGAGACGAGAGAACATAAAATACAATATTAGTCAATTATAATCTCAACGACTGATGTTAACGTAGTCTACATCTACACAAATCTGTATAGGGTGTTTTTTTTTCTTTCAATTCCAACCCAGTGACCCTTTCCACAATAATTCAACAAAACGTATAGCTTTAATTTTTTCTGCTATATTTCCACCATATTAGTGTTTACCTGCTTTGGGATTATTCACGGCTCCGTGAGCCCCGGACACCTGCCACATCCCGTTCAGCACCCGGCAGATCTCCAGACCTCCGGACAGTCTCACTTTGGGCACCGGGGACATCCTGCGGTTTGAGCCGGGGAAGAGCTACTAGGGGCGGCCTGCGGTATGAACACAAATCAGCTGTCTTCCACGGTGCAAGGCATCACATGTTTTTCATTCATGAGAGTTGTCAGTCAATTTAACGCGTTAAGCCGTTTAATACTACAGGGTGGAAACATATAAATCAGCAACATTTATACAAATTACTTACTTTATGTTTCCTACAAGACGTATCCGAAACAGCTCCTCAGTTCTCAACAACACGGGGAACAGTTACAAAACATTTTTGCGTAAGTGTTATAAAAAGCCTCGAGTGATTCAACCAATAGGTGACTCTGTTTAGACGGATATTGAACTTCTTCAGCTAATAGGCTGTTGGCTTACTGCCCCCTACTGGATAGAAACGTACATTTCTCTGTGGAAAACAAAACACCTGAACATGTTGAAGAGAAGTTCAATCAATCTTAAATAAAACACAGAGACGTGATACAGTAAAAAATAATCTTTACTTTTCTGTTACATTCCACACATCAACAGAGCCCTTCTTAATAGAGCATTCCCTCCACATTACATGCTGTAGCAGTCCCATCTTGTTTCTTCTATCACTCCACTGTTTTCACTGTTTCCACCGTTTCTACCGTTTCCACTTTCTTCTTCTTCTTCTTCTTCTTCTTTTTCTTCCTCTTTCTCTTCTTGCTGGGTGTACCGTCAGCCTGATCAGCTGCAGGAGTCTGTTTGTCCTCCGTCTCTGAAGCTGCAGGCCTCTTCCGACGGGTGGAGGGGATGGGTGGTGTCGCCTCCTGAGCGCTGTGACAGAGCAGACAACTAAAGTCAACCTCTAATTTCAGAAATCAATTATGTAATAAAAGAATACATGCATCTGGAGAGGGCCAGAGCGAAGTGCCACTGCCGAATTACTTATTCTGAGCAACCATGACCCAATTACAGTATTTTAGAAACCAAGACAATAACTTGACCCCATAGTATTTACCTTATCTGAACCGCTGGCTCCTGCTTCTCTGCTTCATTCACAGCCTCGCTGATTGTGACAGGAGGATCACTGAAGCACAGAAGAAAATACAATTGTAAACCAAAAAGAAATAGCTACATATATTCAATTAGAGTGGAATGAATGCCCAAAATGTAGTCTGGATCATTTCCATTCATCAAAATAAAGACATCAAAACTGCATTATATTTTCTACATGTGTGAAACATTTGCATGTAAACACTATTTTCAAAACTACGACAATAAGAGTTGAAACATCAATATATATTTAACTTTACATGACACCCCAGTATTCACCTTATCTGAACTAATGGCTCCTGCTTCTTTCTCCCAGCCCCGTTGTGTTTCTCCAGCAGAGCCACGAAGAAGCCGTGGGTGCGGGTTTTTGCAGGGTTGGCTCGGAGACACTGAGTGAGCGGCTCCAGGCCTCGTTCAGGCCACTGAGACAGCAGATTAACCAACCTGAAGGATAAAACACACCTTATCAGAGTTCAAACTAAAAGTTCAATCAAGGAGGAGCCACAAAAGACGTGTCCCAAACAGCAAATATAAAGGAATAATAGGGAAAGCCTATGATCAAATATTTGCAGGTACACAAACATCACTGAGTTTGTTATTAGTTAGTGAAAATGTACTATTGCTACCTGAAGCCGGGGTTCTCCTGCAGACAGGCCGCTACGACTCCCTCGTTCTCCTGGCTGTGGATGGAGCAGGTGGAGTACACCAGGCGCTTCAGGCGAGGGAACTTCAGGCCGTGGTTGAGACAGCGCAGCTGGAAGCAGGCCAGGGCGGCCAGACGAGCCTTAACCTTCTCCTGGTCAGCAGAGGACGCATCGTCCCGGAGACACACCATGCCTGGAGGACACATAGGTTTTAGAAATTATATTGAAATCCTACTATTGCATGTAGAGCATGCTGATTATTAAAATGTGTACAAATATTTTTATTTCATTCAGGTTGTCAGGGACATTAACATGGGGATATTCAGAAAGGAAGTTGACTTTAATTTGAATTAAACAATATAAACAACAATATAATAATCCCGTACAATGCGAACAAAGCACCTTGAGTCGCAACTGGTCAAGGTGCAGCCAGTGTTTCTACTCAAATACAGTCACGTGCTTTTGTATAGTAGTCATTGGGTGGTTAATGGAAAACTACAAAAATAAAGTTAAACGTTCTGCTTGATATTTGGACCTTTAATAAAACTATAACAAATATTTTAAAATATGTTTTCTTGTATAATAATGGATATTTTGACCTCTTCGGGATTCAAACTGTTATTTAAATGAAACCGGTAAGTAACAAGCCACCATAATATCAAAAAACTGTAATTCCATAGATAGTGCTAGGAACCCAGACACTGCAGACAAGAGGGAATATACTGGTAAAATATGAAACAAATAAACATAAGGAATCTGACTCCAACCCAATGAGCTTGGCTGGGAAGATTTAGTCAACCTAACTGCGTGTAGCTATAGGGATGATGTGTCGTTCCGATACGGGCCAAATCCCTGGAGTACCTGATGATTTTATCCTAAAATGTCCCTGAAAAACTCTCGTTGCATCATTGGACATGAATATGTGGTATCAAATAATCTCCAGTCAGCTGAGATGATGATGTTACAAGATGGATGCAGTGGTGACTCAGGGGATATGATGAACACCAACACGGTTTATATTAAAAGCTGTGTTGCTCAAGGGAGATTGTGATCATATATGATTGTATGATGTATACATCATAAAACTATACAACTAAGGTCACCTTCCTTAATTGGGGATGTAAAGGATGATATTCTACCTGATCCACTGCAGGAAGGATCCAGCAGGACGTATTCAACATCTTTAAACTGCGGGCTGTCAGGGTCCACCTTCAAGAAGTCCTGGTTGGCCAGCTGATGACAGGTGACCCCGGATCTGAGCAGGAGAGTGGCCATGGTGGACAGACGCTTGGCATCCAAGTCAAAGGCAAACAGCTTGCCCTTGTTCTTCATGATGGCTGCCAGGTGGCTGGTTTTGTTGCCCGGGGCGGCACAAGCATCGATGATATGTGCACCAGCCGGGGGGTTGAGGAGGTAAGCAGGGAGGCAGCTGGCTTTGTCCTGCAAAATGATGTGGCCGGCCTTATACAGGAAGTGGTCGTGGAAGTCAGTGTTAGGAGGGAAGACCAGCAGCTCTGGCAGATGCATGTCCATCACAAAGTATTTCTCCTTCAGGGTTAAGTCCTCCAGCCTGGACGCCTGTCCCAGGTAGGAGAAGCCATCCCTCTTCAGATAGTCCACAGCATCCTCCACGGTGGTCTTCACGGTGTTCACACGCACATACCTGGGCAGATTTTCCGCGAGCACTTGCTTGACGCTGGCCGGGAGCAGGTCCTCATTCTTGCTGACCTTCTGCTTCACCTTCATACGGGCCAGCACCGACTGCAGCCGGGCGCGGTGCTTTATCATCATGGTCTTCCAGGCTCCTCCGCACTTCAGCCCCTGGCCTATCAGCAGGTCGAACACCAGCACCTTGGCCAGGTTCATGCGCATCTTGGTCTGCTTGAGCAGCTTGGAGGAAACGATAATTTCCTCCAGGACTGAGGAAAACTTCTGGGTCTCCAAAACCAGAGCGAACAATGGTTTGATGTTCTCAAATTTGCTGTCGTAGACCAGAGTTTTCAAAGCGCCCTGCTTCTTCTCAGCTTTGTCCAGGATTTCTGCGGCTTTCACGTACAGAGCCATGGCCACTTTTAGCTAGTTAACGACTCAGACTACTTTACCTACTTTCAAATGTTTCTCTTTTTACACCTGACCGGAGACATTCCTCCTCCTAAAGGACCTTTCGCTCTTCTGGTCAGCTTTGTTCTACTTCTCAAACACGTTTTTATAAGACCAACTTCAAGATTGTTTTCCCACCATCCACATGGCAGAGGAAAGCTCGTGACACCGGAAGTACTACCTTTGAGGCACTGTTTTGGTCTGACGTAGGAATGCCGGGGCAGCCAATCAACGATGGCATCTGAAAAATAATAATATTACGGCACTTTTTATGATATACACATTATTAGTGCAACGAAGAAAAGCAAAAAACAAATAAAAGAAAGACATCTTAATAAAATTAAAATAATTGAATGACCAGACATTGGTTTATTTTATTGATATAATTTATCAAAGGTTGCTAATCAAATAGAACATATCCACTTGTATACCTTACTTCTAAATGACATGATAATGCCTTACCTTCTTACCATAAATACCCTAGATTGTATATATAAAACTTATAAACTATCCATTAAAATATTTGATAAATGTTTAAATTACAGGAGAATTGAAAATGTAATTTTAATGGACATTTCCAAAAGCCTCCTTGGTATTGAAATAATAATTTCTTCTCTTGGTTGATAGATTTCATTCCACCTTAAGTCAGGGGTGCTGGGGATAAATCACTCAAAATTAAATGATCAACTATCACCTTTTAGAGTGACAGTTCCCAGGTCATTACAAAATGAAGTTATATTGTTACTGAAATGCAGAAAGTGGCAGTAGAAATGGATGTGAGGGACAGGAAACTGAAGAGAACATAGCTTTATTATTTCATAAAAATGATATGTCCATGTGGAGATATGCAAAATCACAGGATTTAAGTTCACACTGGTGTTATTATTATATTATTGGTACAATATGGACGATCATCGCTGCAATACATCAGTTAGCTGTCATTCAATGTGAACTTTAGTTCAGAATTATCTTTCCCATTGATCCCCCATCACAAGTTACAATTCAGTTAAGATCAGAAACAGTTCATCAACAAGACTCTTGAGAAAACATTTAATTAAGGGCACCTTTCAAGCATCGCTGACCAAAAACAGAAAAATATAAACAATTTGAGAAAGACTAAGAAAATAAACATGGCTTTCAACAAAAAGCTTGTTCAATGTACTTCCAGGTGACCAAATACACAGTATATCTGCACTTGCATAAACACACAGCATAAATAACAAGGAAGGGACAAAAATGGATTCCAAAAATGTAGAAAATGCACTGTACATTTTGCCTTAGGGTACTGAGAAGCCATGCATGCTGATTTACCTGCCTAGAGCAATTATTATCCAATTGCTGCATAAACAGAAACACACACTGATGTTAGAGTTGTGATTTTAAGCAATGTTATTGAGTGTAGCATCTTTTTTTTAACAATTTCAGGAAAACATTTTTTACACGGTAAATTATGCTCAAGTCAATACTGTTGGAATGCAGTCGAGCTGCTTTATGTGAAGAGCAAAGAAGTTGCATTTCACTCAATCCACTAGCAGAGGAATAGTTTGTGCTGTATTACAGTATCTTGCTATTTTAACCAAAGAGATCCTCAAGCTACTCTTTGTCAATATACTTTTAGTATATTATATATTGCTGCTGTTGACTACTGCTGCGATGTTCAAATGATGCTGAATTCAGTTGGTTTAATCCAGTGTTTTGAAGACATGTATTTGAGGGGGATACCTTCATTTTTTAAAGCATAGTATGTAGAATCAGTGGTGGAGGACAGAATAACCAGACCCAATTGTCACATAACCAATCAGTGTTTAGTGACCCCACTGGGCTTTTTACCAGTCTTGGTCTTTAAAGAGTTTTTGTATAGAAGCAGTCTCTCTGTGGTGTGAGATGGCAGGCGGCTCCTCTTGGCTCTCACGATGCACGCTGCCATGGGACACAGCCGATCGAAGCCCCCCGAGGTAGCCGGCACTGCCAGCAGGTTCTTGGTGATTCTCTGAAGCAGAGGAAACCGAGTGGCAGATTTCCAGAACAACACGCTGGAGTTGCTTTCCCACAGCGGTTCTGATAGGTACACATCGAGCTCTGATGTCTTCATGCTCTTTGCAGCCGGCTGGAGGAAGTTGAAGATGGACTTACGCTTGAGGTTGTTCCCGCTGAGTCCGTCGGAGTTGTTGTCGTCGGAGCTGCCACTAGATACCTCCATCGTCACGCTGTCTTGGCTCTTCTCTTCGCCATTCTGCTGGTTGACCTCTTTGCTTGTCTGGTCTTTATCTGCCTCAACAGGGGGAGATGCTGAGGCCCCCATGCTTTCCACTGCGGCTTCCACAATGGTGCGCGCCAGATGCTTTGGTGGTGGCGATAGGAAACCTGTGATGTCCACCTCCTGTTTGGCATCAGGAAACGGCTGAGAAAAAAACATTCAAGCGAGGATGAGAGTTCAGATTCTGGGTGCAGATCCTCAGAGGAGTAACAGAGCGCTCAATATAAACACTTCCATTCAAATGTACAAGATGCCATTTGATGCAATACATAAAGCACAACATAAAAGCACTGCTTTATTTCAATACCTGCAGTTTGATCCTCGGGTCGAGCACAGCAGCTATTATCATGTCCTTCTGTTGAATCATGGACTGGAAGTGTGTGTGGAGGCCAGTGCGCAGGGCCTTGTTGAAGTGGGTGTAGTTAGTGACGAGGCTCTCCAGAGCCTTATCAAGGCCGATGAGGGACGGTATGATGAAAGAAAAAGTCACTCCATTTCCTTGCAGTACCTGGTTAAGAAGAAGCAAAAAGGAAATTATCTCACATAATCTTTTACTGACAACACTACTGTATTTCCATACATGTACATAATATTTCTAAAAGGTATTCACAAAGAAAGTATCTTATACTTAAATCTGGGCTGAATGTACTAATGATAGTAGATATTAAAAAGATAGTAAGTTTCAATGCGTATTACTTCATATTTCTTCTTAAGCCGTCTGCATCATTATTTTCCACCATTTCAGAAATAAATTACAACAAGAAAGTAAAGGAAACTGGAAATGCAAGTATAAATAGGAAAGGATTTGTGACCAAATCGCTCAAGTAATGTTCGGGTTTTTAAAAAACATATACAAGTGCAATTTATTATGAAATATGATCCAACACATCCATGAAATCTACTTTCTCTTTTACCTGCAAGGCCTCCTCAAAAGGCTCAAGAAGACCCAGGATGTCGATCACTTGCTCCCTCTTGGCCATGACCAAAGGCGGGACACTGGCTGTGTCGTTGGCCTCTATGCGAGCCTGAGCTAAGAGAGTCATGATGGCACTCCAGGTGGACTCCTGCACCATACGCCGTAAAGACAGCATCATGGAGTTCCAGCGACAGCTACTGGAGGAAGGGCACAGGGACACGTTGCACTCCTTCATCAAAACCTAAACAAATAAAAGATTCAAAACAAGTTAAAGAAAATAATAATCAGGAAAGTATACTCTCTCGGTTGCTGCAAACAAAAAAATGTCAGATCTCCGATAGAATTTAAAATATGTATAACAGTAATGTTTGTATAAGCTGTCTCACCTCAAATAGCACATTTAGCTGATATTAGCATTTTTGTCAGACATTGTCTTATCAGTGAATAAGATGACATTTGCCCCTGTTTATCCGTTTGTCACATCAACTTTGCACCGGCTAAATGTTGTTTATTTATTTGCCTTTGATTTGGACAGCAGCAGCCACACCCAGCTAGTGTAAACGGTATTGGCATAAACATCACTATTTGCACAGAATCTTTTAACGGGTGCCTGCTTTAAATACTCAATATATCTGATGTCAGTAAACTAAAATAACCATTTAACAAAATCCTACTTCTTGATAATTTTGGTGAATAAATGTTTCTGTACACCAGCAAGAAAAAAAGAAAATGAATCCTTCATATCATGTACAAGCTTTTTCATCAAAAAATCGGATTAAACCTAAATGATGTAGGACAATACATTTGAAAGGTTTAATACACAGAATAGACCTAATGAACACATCATTTCAACAAGACACACTGCCGGCACAACCTCATCTTTGGATGTAAAATCTCTGAAAGCCGAAAAACTGATTTGGTTACAGAAATATGTACCGTTGTAAAAAGAATATAATAATACAGGGTAAATTACACTTGCAAGAATTAATTTCTCCTACCTCGCTCCAGTAGGCGCTGCTCCTAAAAAAAGCCACCACGTTGTGGACCTGGGAGATTACATTTTCCACAACCCTGGAGTTCTGCAGTGCCTCTTTAATCACAAGCTGCAATGTTTGGGCCACACAGGTGGCCCTGTTCCCAATCTGTAGCTCTGAAAAAGGGGATTCTGTTCCAGGCATCTGGTTCGACAGAAATGACACCATCTCATCTCCATCTGGTTCTCCCCTGCTGGATGAGCACATGATCTTATAGTCGCAGAACAAACTGTTCCCGGCCAGGGTTTCTTTGGCCTGGTTGGTGAGGACGTAGCCGATGCTGCGAGGAAATATGCCGTAGCTCAGCAGAACACCTTCAAGCTCCCTGGCCACAGCCGTGCTGAGGTTTTTGTGGCTGAGGTGGCGGAAGGCCACAATGGGACGGCGGATCTGCCAGGACTCACTGACAAAGTGGAGCTGCACCACGACTATGGGATCCTCCACTGGATGGGCATCATCCCCTGCCCAAAGGTCAAAGGTCACGTGAATGGCGCTCTCACCATCTTTGGATTTGGCAAGGCAAGCTTTAAGGTCACGAATGAGCTGAGGCTTGATGGTTCTCTCCACATCATCATAGAGTTGTAGGCCCATGACACGCTGGGACAGCTTGTTGCATTCAGGCCGGACGGTACTCATGAAGGACCTGAAGCCTGCACCTTCAATAAAACTGTGGGGAATAAAGTGAAGGAACATTGGTAAAGTGCATTTTAAATAATGGATGCAAATGCATTAACAAGACTAGTGGTTGGATGTGTATATTTAAGTACATTTGCTTTGCCCAACAGATTAGAAAATGTGTATTCTGATGCGGTAATTCAAAGTCAGGGGACACATATAACATGAACTACAGAAGGTAGACCCACGAAAGGATTTATCTGACTTGGTAAAGTAAACTTAGTTTAACAAACTAACAAATCCAGCAAGGACACTATCAGCCACTAGCGCTACAATTCACCTGAGTGGCAGCATGTCCTCCGCGATCATCCTCAGTGCTGCAGTCACAAACTGTTTCTGTTCCACTGGCGCAGGTGCCGGAGCAGCACTTGAGCTCGAGCTGGGACTGGAACTTGAACTGCGGGGCAAGGAGGGACTCATGGATGCTACAGTCTGTGGAAGCGGAGTGGGCGTCTTCGGTCTGACTTTCTTCTGACACTCCTGCTTCTTTTCTTTTTCTGGCCTTATCTGCAGAAAAACAAAGAGTAAGCAAAAAAAACAAGCTTGGCATCTGGAAGCATCACCGAAAAAAATATACATTTTATTTGATAACATGCATCCCAGACCACCCATAAAATGTTATCTGGTTATTATTGTCGTGGCTCTGTTTGGGAGCTGCTTTATTGTAATGTAACTGAAGTAGCTCTACAACATTTTAATGTCTTTCAGTCGGTAAAAGTTAAATAGCAAAAAATATAACCATCATAAATAGCTTACCACTTTTGGAGTTACTGGTTCAGTGTCTAATACAACGTCACATTTGAAGTCCAACTGTAAAACAATATACGAGTTGAGCACAATAGTGTCTTTGTAGCAAAATATTATAAAATAACCACAAAACACATTTTCCTTCCATAATCTGAACAGCCCCAGTGCATGACATTAAGGATTTTGGGAGATGGCCCTGTGGGCCATCTAAGCTCATTTACAGATGGCCCTGAGCCCAATAGAGATTGCCCTGAAAAATGCGCGAGGACGTAATGATGCACCAAGGATTTGGGGGGCCTCCCCCTAGAACATTTAGATTTTTGCAGGTCTTAGATGCTGTCTGGTGCATTCTATAGACTGAATTATAAGATGAACCACCACAATATTATATTGTACAATTTCAATTGTATTCTTCATTTCACTTGTTTGTTTGCATGAGTTCTTGTTTGTGTTTGCTCGCTTGCATGCCCTGCATAGCTATAAGAAATACTTAAGTTGTTGGTCAAGACACTTTCCATCTGTTGAAGGCAAATGCCTTCATCAGATGTAAAAAAGTAGAAAACATTACATTCAGTTATATCTGCCAAAACAAACATTATTTAACCTATTATGGCCCTTTGTTAAAAATGTTTGTAATGTTATCTACTGTTAGTCTGGGAGACCTTGAGTGTACACTGGCCGGCTTATTAGAAATTAAGAATTGGCAAGAGGTCGAAACCACCCTGAAATAACTGCTTTATACAATTATTAATTACAAACAAATTGAAACATTGTAATACACTGACTTNCATACACGATTCATACAAGATCTTTTTGTTACTGCTGAATATATACTTATATATATATGGGCACCCATTTCCACCAATGAAGACTACAAATATGACAGAATATCTTTAATTGCAACACTATCTCACCTATCTTCCTTCATCTTAAGTTTTTTAAGTTTTCTTGTTTTATATTTATATTTGATCCCTACTATAATTATAACCAGGACCGTGTGTACATCCTAAAAACGCATTGGCTATGTGTATTTAATCTACATATACCGCAGGGCTCAACATTAACGACTGCCCGATGGCCCGAGGCAATCTAGTATTTAGCTCGGGCAATGAAGCCTCACCTGCTGGTTGCCCGATCGGGCAATCTATTATGGCAATTGTGGAGACGTGTCAGTGCCTGACAGCGGTCAAATCGGTTGGAAAACGATGAAAAAGTTGCCAAAAGTCGGTCAACCCGTCTTTCTTCATGGACGTCACCATTTTGTGTGCTTCGCGGATGCGCTCGGCTCCTCTCGACTGCTGCTCGGTCAGCTTCCGGATGAGGAGGCATTCGTTTGACCAACTTCGCGATGTTCGGGCTGGCCCGGTCAATACGATTTCTATTCAATGAATACTACCCGGACAATGAATCGAATGCAACCACATTTTCGCGGGAATTTCAATTTTTTTACGGATTCTGATGCTGAATACCTAACGATCAAATCATTTAAAGTCAGTGTATTACAATGTTTCAATTTGTTTGTAATTAATAATTGTATAAAGCAGTTATTTCAGGGTGGTTTCGACCTCTTGNAAGTTTCTAGACCAACAACTTAAAGAGCAACTTGCAGGTTAGAGACATCAATTTCTTTGAAAATCTAGTGTATTCATCATTTTCCTACACATTTATTCACTGATGTCTCTAACCTGCAAGTTGCTCTTTAAGTTGTTGGTCTAGAAACTTTCCATCTGATGAAGGCAAATGCCTTCCCAGATGTAAAAAAGTAGAAAAAATGACATTCAATTATAACTGCCAAAACAAGCATTATTTACACTATTATGGCCCCTGTTAAAAATGTTATAATGTTATTTTGATTCTCTTTTTGGGGGGGGGGGACTGCGGCTCAGTCTTTCCAGGTTGTTCACCTGGCTTTGGTGGACTAAGAAACATTGTAATACACTGACTTTAAATGATTTGATCGTTAGGTATTCAGCATCAGAATCCGTAAAAAATTGAAATTCCCGCGAATATGTGGTTGCATTCGATTAATTGTCCGGATAGTATCCATTGTATAGAAATCGTATTGACAGGGCCAGTCCGAACATCGCGAAGTTGGTCGAACGAATGCCCCCTCATCCGGAAGCTGACCGAGCAGACCCGAGCAGCAGTCGAGAAGAGCCGAGCGCATCCGCGAAGCACACAAAATGGCGACGTCCATGAAGAAAGACTGGTTGACCGACTTTTGGCAACTTTTTCCAACCGATTTGACCGCTGTCAGGCACTGACACGTCTCCACAATTACCATAATAGATTGCCCGATCGGGCAACCAACAGGTGAGGCTTCATTGCCAGAGCTAAATTCTAGATTGCTTCGGGCCATCGGGCAGTCGTTAATGTCGAGCCTTGAGCCCACATAATGTTAGAGTATATAAGTAATCATTAAATATTATAGAAATGTATATTCAAATGTTCCCCCTAAGAAATTATTGAGAAAAAAAACATGAAAATGGCTGTGAATGTTGAAAAACGATAAGCCTTTTATAGTATGTGCTAAACTTAATAAGTACTGTACCTCTCCTTCCACAAAGTTCTGAATATCAAGGGAAATGCTGTCAGCTAGGTCTTTGTACAAGCCCAAATCTACTTTCCGCTTGATGGTGGAGTTCCAGCGATTTTTCACAGAATTGTCTGTCCTGCAAGAGGAACCAAAAAATATAAATTAAAATGTCTTGGTGAAAAACAAAACAGGCTGAAACTTTCTTACATGCATTTCTTTAGTTTAAGAATAACAACTGAATCATGCATTTAAAATGTCGGTCATTTCTCTCTTTATAAACTTCAGCAAATCCATAACAGCAACTCAACCCACCTTCCAGGGAGCAGCCTGGCAATCTCAGCCCACCGGTTTCCCAAGATGGTGTGGGCTTTATGGATGATGAGGTCTTCTTCATCGGTCCATAAGCTCTTTTTGATAAGTGGGTCGAGGTGGTTGTGCCAGCGCTCACGGCACCGTTTTCCCAAACGTCCCTTCAGGTGCCCGGCAATCAAAGACCACTGTTTATTGCCGTACTTGCCCACCAGCTCTACTATCTGTCAAGAGATATATAGTAGAAACTCAATATGTTAACACAGGAGTACAAAATTAGATGTGACAACGTTTACAACAAACTGGTCTTAAGTCTGTTTCAGATGTTCTGTGTAGTTTTTTTTTACCATTTCATCTTCCTCTTTGGTCCAGAAGCCCTTGACTAAATCAGGATCCAGGTGCTTTTTCCAGCGGTGCACACAGTCAGATTCTGTCCGCCCCTGCCAAAGTAAAAGCCAATTTGTTTTAGGGAAAAACAGTTGAATTATTTAAGAGGAAAATCAATCGATTGGTTAGTATTTTTCTTTTTTTAAATGTTCACAACCTGATAGACAGACACAATGCTGCAAGACACCTGGCCTCACTTTGTCACACCAAACTTTAAAAGTTTACATATAGCTGATCATTAATCATTTTCTCTGACAGGATTGATTGCGTTTCCGCTAAATACTTACTGGTAAAAAAATTGCAATGGTTTTCCAATCTTTTTTTCCAAAATTGTTGATCAGGATTTTGAGATTTTCCTCCTGCACACAAGAGAAAATCTGTTCAGATACAGTACCATTTTAAAGTAATTTTAAAAACTGATAACTTTTGCCAGTAGCTACGGAACAAACTCATCCATAGAAACATATGTGATTACATTTCTTAAGCATGAGTTTGCACAACTGCCTCAGTTGGCACTTTTTGCAAGCATGCTGCAAAATGTAGGCCATTGAAGCTATGATAGCAAAAAAAAGGAAATAATAGTATGTTGCTTCAGATAATGTAATCAGATGAATATCTGATATATAGACATCAGGATCAGAGCCCTCTTTGTACTCACTTCTTCCTGAGTCCATTTGACTTTACACTTCGAACCATCCTTCTGGTCAGCTGCGTCCGAGTCAGTGTCAATGCACTTATTACTATCCCCTTCTTCGTCCATGCTACAACCACAGAAAAACAGAAATGTAAACATGTATAACTGGGTTTCAATATATGACGTTTATTAATAGTGACATAGCAATCACTATCTACTGTCTCTCAAGTGATCATTGATATCAACATAAGACATAGTTGATATGGACTTTATATTGGTGCAATTGAGTTTGAATGTCAATTTTAGAAATAATAATTCATATCATGTTGCATTGGTGTACCATAAGATGTTTCAGAAAGTGATGCAAAAACAGATATGTCACTGCAAGAAAGCATCAAAGTCTATGGTAAAAGCAACGCAGAGTACTGGCCGATGCAAATCACCACTTTATTAAGTCAATATCAAACATATTATTACCTTATGCAATACAAATTATGAAGTGATCAATCTGCCACTGTTTATCAAAGGTTGTGTAGTTTGCAGAGATGTTGAATTGGACTGCATGATAGAGGCGTTTCTGCAGCTTTGTGTGGCTCACATTTAAAACATTAGAAACGCATAATGTCCCGTTTTAATCTTCTATTCTTTACCATTGAAAAAAGAAAACCGAATTGCTACTGCTGCTTTGAAAACAGGCATTTGCAATTACATTTTTCATATACAAAATACAAATAACAAACTACGTTTTTTTGCCTAGCCTGTAAATGTTCCGTCTGTTGAAAGCTTGTGTTTTTCTTTTTCACGTCCTACAACATTTTCAACAAGCAAGCATGTTGTGCTGCGCAGAATCGTGATAGCTTAACTGTCCATAGAAAAGTTGACATAGCTTAGCAGCTAACAGAATCTGTTAAACCAAACAGTTACTCTCGACTTACATACACATCGTTGTCATTTATATCTCAACAGTGCGTTTAGCAACTCTCAAGACAAAATTATTGGGACAAATAATCAAAAAATGGTATTTCAACCAATTAACTTATAACAAAACTTGACTGTAACTTCAAGCTAGCTAACTTGGCTACATAGTATCATGAGCACGCTTTAGGAAACGTTGACTGTTACTTAAGTAGGGCGCCTCTAGCGGGGCATTGTGTCCGCAAATGCACACTTTTTAGTGGCGAACAAATAAGGAGTTTGAGATGATAACAATGGAGAAAGTTAGCTGACATTACAGTAGGGATAACAAATTCATGCCTACCTAAATTCCAGACTGTGCAACTGCTTCTGGAAAACAGCCGGGTCCAGCTTTTCCAGCTCACTACCACGACACAACAGAACATAGGACATGAAAGAGAGGAAACACTCGTCTCACTCACACTCTCATATAATGTAGCAATGTAGCCACTTGATGTACAGCTGTATTGATGGTTACATTATAATTAATACAGCTGTGAGACATGTCTACCTGGCGAACTGCATAAACACACTTCATATTATTTATTTAATTTAATGCAACGTTAACGTCTCCCACACTTACCCGCGCGACATCCCTCCTCTGTCTCTGCTGGCAGACTGGAGCTCTCAACTGCTGCTGAAATAGTTTAACAGAAACTAAAACAAACCGTAGTTTGGGGGATAAAAGTAACCTCAAATAACACACGCTTGATTACATACCTGTTAGTTATTCAAATACAGACACAGATGAAGAATTTGTGGTCTTGTATCTGTAGAAATTTACCCGGGAGTCCGGGCTGTGGAGCAGGCGATGTGTTCAAGAACAACACTGCTATACAATCTCCCCGGAAACCATGTGAGGGACGGTTTGGTTCCAACCGGCGCAAACGGCTAACGGCTGCTGTTGCTGCAGGCTCTGCTGCTCGACATGCTGTTTCCTCTCCAACATTAACGTTTATAAATCACTTTAAAATCATACCAGTGTCAATACAGCCTTCAGAAAAAGTCATACTTACTCGTTTATAAGGACAACACAAGTTGAAACATGATAGTGTATAATGTTCCACGTTCCACCACAACATTAGCCTCGTACAAAATCAGGTTAATTATGCTAGGCTAGGCTACAAGTCACGTTGCTTTAAGTAAATCAGGCCTAATTCGATTTATTTTCAGCTTTTTTTTGCTGAAATGACACTGCTATGTTATCATAGTTTATAATGTTAAAGACAGACGTACATTGTTGAACCTTAACTTGTTCAGTTTGCCTGTTTCACATCCCCATCCATTGCAGTCTTAACAGTGTTGCCAAGCAACGGTTAGTTACTCAAAGCAAATGTAACTAATGCTTACTATTACACAATGCCGCCTCACAAAATAATGGAGGAAACTAAGAAGTTATTTAACAACACAAACAACAACAACAATTGGAAGTTCAGTTTGAAGGCTAAATTAGTCAGGCAGAGAAACATGAATACAAAAAAACACATGCAGCAACGACACATGATGTTCATTAAATTATCTTTGATTTAATATGTTTAAATAGGCCTACATGATTTATAAGGTAAATGAAAACTATTGTCTTGCAATTCCTCTAGTTTAACAGAGATAGACCTACTGCTTCTCTTCTACGCTACGATAGTTAGCTTTTAGTCAGTGTTTGTTTTTTCTCATTTGCAATCTGATAATACTCCCCTTCCTTTGTATGCAGTAAAATAAATAAAATTGCTAATATGTTAGAGGACTCAAGAAAAAAAGCTAATTTTAAGTTAAAAAACATATAGCCTACTAACCTTTCATCAGCTAGCAAAAACCAGCTAGCATTACCTAGCTAGCTCGTGTGCTTTGTTTTTTTACCTCTTTATTTTCTTTTATTTAATCTGTTTTGTAAATGGTCAAAAACTATTGAAATCCTGTTGCCCATATCATTTGATCATAATGAAAATGTCTAAAACTATGTATTATATGTTAAGTATACTGTATGTGACACACACTTCCACTTACATAAAAAACAGAGGTCGACTCCGAATGATTCCTTTCCATCTGTGTGTCAATCACCCTGATCATGTGTTTCTCATTTTGACCACTAAGTGGTACAGTTGTACAGTAATGTGAGCTGTTCATATGTTGTTCTCACTGGTGGACAGGTGTGTCTCCGGGAGTTAATAATTGACCTATTGGATCACTCTGGATAATTTCAATTAATAAGTCTCTGTTGGTTATGGTGGACACTTATTTTTCAGTTGTTATGCAGAGATAAAACACAAGAGAAGCAATAAAACAGATAAGAGAGCAAAGAAAACAAGACCAAACAGCCATAACAAAAGGGACGTTAATATACCAACATATTCCTCTTTAAAGATTTCTTGAAATTCTCTTTAGATTCTTCTTATAGATTATAAATAAATCATTTAGGGACAAGGGGGTGAGATTAAATAAATTATACTTCTTCTCACTCCTTTTCGAACACTAGATGTGGCACTGTTTATGTTGCTAATGCTGTTGTTGTTGTTGTTGTAAATGTCATTTTTTGTTTTGATTTCTCTTACATGACTATGCACTGCAACATCTGTTTTGTTTTGTAATTATTTATTTTACTTGTTCGAAATAAATGTATCAATCGATCAAATCATATAAATCTTTTATATAAAATATTATCCAAAAATCTTCAATTTTGCTCATGCATTATATTTATTTCCCCTCTCGTGCTTGGTCTTTTGTTTAATTTTGTTTTACTTTTAACTGCCTCTATTTTGGTCCTGACCTTGCTTTGATCATGTCATTGGTATGATATATTTCCAATCTTTTGTTAATTTATTTATAAAGAAGGATACTATGTCCCTATGACATGTTATAAATTAGATGTGTGGTTTTTATTGTGACTTTGAAGTGTTTGCGCTGTCATTAATGTTTTCCCTGCTGATGAATCAGAGTTGGTAAACATTAATCAGATGATGGCATAGATAGCATGATATTTGCAGAGCTGAAGTGTGACAAGTTTGTGGAATGTAACAAGTTGCGAGCTAAGAGGACTTTGAGCAATTGTGCAGTTACCCTTTAATCCTCGAGTTGCCTCCTTCAAGTTGCACAATATTCTCTGTTCAAATCTGGTTGAATCTGACCTGTTTTTTCTTTTCAGTAACTTTATTCAAATCTTTCCAAAGTGAAAATTGTTTTAGATAGTATCGAAACACAGTTTATCAGAAGTAAAAACTCTCTTTAAATATTCGGTATCATGAAGTATACCCGAAATGTAGCAGAATTGATTACAAATAAAAACAGGTAAATTAAATAAACATTACATTGCATTTAGCTGACGCTTTTATCCAAAGCGACTTACAATAAGTGCATTCGACCAAGAAGATACAAACTAGAAGAAAACAGAATCATACAAGTACATCAGGTTTCATAGAGCCAAACATTTCAAGTGCTACTCAACTGGCTTTAGATAAGCCAGTCCTTTATTAGTATATAAGTGCTTTGTTAGTAATTCTATCGCTCGAAGTCGAAAGAGATGAGTTTTCAGTCTGCCCCGGAAGACGTGTAAGCTTTCTGCTGTCCTGATTTCAATGGGGAGCTGCAGCTATTGTTTGTTTTCTTAATCTTTTTAAGGCTGTAGGCTTTCTTTAACTAATCTACTTTGTGAATGGTCATTGGCTTAGCTTTAGAGAGTAGAGATCGGAGTCAAAGTGGTCTGTGTGTTCCCTCAGAGCTCTAAGCTGTTCCTGATGGAAACACTCGTACGGTCAGAGGGTCACTAGTTAATCGAAAAGCGTACAAGTTGGGACTTTGGTGCTATAAGTGCCGCTCCTGGCATCATTAGTAAGGCTTATGTAGGAACTAGTCGGACAAAAGTGCCACTAGTTGCTGAAAAAGAGTGACTAGAATAATGTTTTATTCAACTAGTAAAGCAGAGTGCCAAACTAGTGTGGCCATATATCCAACAAGTGAAATCAAAGTGTAGGCAGCTGCCGTCTGATATCAAGGATATGGAATAAATACTCAAACGGCTTGCCATAGATGAGCAACAAGACACAAAGCATGATATAATAATGGCTGGGAGACTCCCTGATGATAAGAGAGACCATCCCATTACTGGAACAGATTACGTGGTCCTTCTGGGAAGCCCAAAGTGTCCAGAACCCCTTAATCAGAAGAAGTTTACAAGATAAAGTATAGGGCTGTTGGCTTTGGACCAAACAACAACAATGGTGCACATTTGGTCCACATCGGATGGGATCAAACTTGTACAGAATCCCACCTACAGGTTCATGAATGTCCTACCAAGAGAATACATGAACTATCTCTATATCTAATAAGAGAGCCCATCCCATTACCAAAGAAGAGATTACGTGGTCCTTCTGGGAAGCCCAAAGTGTCCAGAATCCATAAATCAGAAGAAGTTTACACTATAAAGTATAGGGCTGTTGGCTTTTAACCAAACAACAACAATGGTGCACATTTGGTCCCTTTGGAAAGGATCAAATTGTGTTCGAATCCAACCTACTATCTCTTGAACACCAAATCAAACATGGTTGAATATCAGAATATAACCAGAATCAGATTAGTTTAAATATAAAACATCAAAATGATCGAACAGGTTGCCCCTAAGGACATATTTTACAAAACCCTAGAGAGTTAAATATCTAGACATTTCAGCTACTGGCTAGCTGTTAGCATAGCAAAATCATGAGTTCAATATCCTGGTGTTTGTCGGGAAATGTTCGGACCTGATTACTTTTGAATAATGCAGGTATGGCACCAAATATATGTGAAATCTGTACAAACATGCTGTAAATAGGAAGTACAGGGTGCTCATATAGGACATACATATTTTATACATATTTGTATTATTGTATTATTGTATTTTGTATTCGGGATTGTTGGAAACGTTAGTTCGATCTCTGTGTCAAACACACAGACAAATTGACATTAAAGTTGACTTTTGACTTAAACCAAGATACAGCATTGATAATCTTTTAGCTCTGATGTTGTGTCCGATAGCAAGGGCATGACAACTATAATAACTTCTTAATGTTAGCTGATCAGAATCCAACCCTTAAGTGGAACAGGAATTTCATTATTTTGTAGGTCAGGCGCTTTTCTTTCCAGTAGATATCCGATTATCGTCTATATACGTCTGCAGGATGCCTGGAAAGCACTCTCTCTCCCTACCTATCAGCGCGACTGTGGCTGTGAGGTCAGATTCATTGGACTCCAATCCCTGGCCCAAAAACACACACTTGCAGCAACACACACTAGTTGTTGTTTTGAAACTCTAGCACCAGTTTACATCCCAAGTGGGCCCAATGGTTCGTCCATCAGTAATGGAAGCTATGGGTCACAAGCGGGTGTTGAAATGCCCCCCGCTTGTTGCACTGGCCTGACCCTCACACACACACACACACACACACACACACACACACACACACACACACACACACACACACACACACACACACACACACACACACACTTCATCATCATATCTGTGCTGACCTTAATGTGGAAGTCTGTCAGTCGGCAGGGAATT